ACCTTTCCCTGAAATCCAACCCTAAATCCCTCCAGGCCCAGCTGCAGCCACTCCCTGGGTGCTGTCCCTGTGCCAGGAGCAGAGATCGGAGCTTGAGGGAAGAGCGACTCATCTGCAGATTTCCTGACTCCATCTCCCTCTTCTCCAGCATTCTCAGAAATGTGACAGCACACAGGTAAACTTTAAAAAGTTATTCTTGAATCATTTTCATTTATTCTTGCATCATTCACTTGCACAAGCCCAGTCTCAGCTGTGTCCGACATTGCACAGCCCCACACCAGCTGTGCCACCACAGCTGGAACAGCACCAGGCCTCACACAGGGGGCACAGCTTAGGGACTCTTGTTTAGTTATACCTTGTCTGTAAATAAAATTGTTTAACAGGAGTGACTGAGGAAACAAGACATTCACAGCAACTGAAGTCAGTTAAAACTGCATTATGAGAAACAGTACTGCCTCATGCATAGCTACTACAAATGCCTTAAAAACCAAAAAGAGCCATCTTCACAGTACAGCTATTTCACTGAGGAATAGTCAAAGTGCTGTAAATGAACAATACAAATTAATTGCATTTTCTTGAAAGAAAGAGTAACTTTTTTTTCCATTGCCAGATAATTTTTTATAATGCCTTCATAATTTTTAGGATCATACAAATTCTACAGACAGTAAAATTTTTCTCTGGTTTTCTTAAAAGAGAAAAAGAAAAGGAAATGAATCCTTGAATGTTTGGCAAAAGCAAAATGTGCACAAAAAGCCAGGGTGAGATGGGGAAGAGGAAGCAGCACCTCTCAGAGGGTGGGCAGGCCCTGGCACAGGGTGCCCAGAGCAGCTGGGGCTGCCCCTGGATCCCTGGCAGTGCCCAAGGCCAGGCTGGACACTGGGGCTGGAGCAGCCTGGCACAGGGGAAGGTGTCCCTGCCATGGCAGGGGTGGCACTGGGTGGGCTTTAAAGACCCCCCAAAGCATCCTGTGATTCCCTGGAGACAGGGCCAGGCTCCTGGACCAGCACCATGGTCCTGCACCCAACCTTCTCCTCTCCTGTGTCAGCTGGTCCCTAAATCCAGGGACAGTGACCCTTTGGCAGCTTTACAGGCAGCCAAGGAATTGACCCACAGTCACAGCAGAGCCTTTGACAACTCTGTCAAGTAATTAGGGCTGTTTAACAGACTCTCACTGCAGTTCTTTATTTTTTTAATGAGATTCTAAATATATCCTACATACAGAAAAATAATTTCCTGAGGACACTCCTTCTTATAAAATATTTAAATGAACAAACAAAAGCGGGTGCCTTTAAATGCTTTTCTGTGAGATTTACTCAGTATTTGACAATGACAACAGAGCTGTGGTTTTGTGCTGTATGTACAATAATCACATGTATATCTACAAGCATGTACTGAACTCTGGATACAGCAATGTGCACGTAGGACAGGAGTGGAGAGGCTGAACAAAGCAAGAGTAGATGTGGAATGTACGCACAGAGCAAACCTCAAAGCATTTTCTCCTGATTCCCAGCTTCTCCCTGTTTCAAGGGCTTTGACTGCTGGATTTGAATGAACTAGGATCTCACTGTGACAAGCAGAGCAGTCTGGAACGAGGCACTGCTGTTGGAGTCAGAGTCTGGAGTTGTCACATCTCAGTTTTGAGAATGTATGTAAAAAAAACTCCATTATCCACAACGTTTCCCAACCCAATCCTCCTCACATGTAATAAAAAGTAACTGAATTATTTTTAAAGGGTAAAAAAATTGCAAAATGAACATTGAAAAAGTGTCCTCATAAAAAACTCACATTGAGAAAATACTGAATAATTAAGTGCATCTAGGAAAAAACCTGCTGCAATGACTCAGCTATTTGGCTCAGTGTCAGCTCAGAGCCAGGCTCTGTCTCCCAGGTGCCAAGTCCCTTGCCCAGCTCTGAGCAGCCTCTCTTGGCTTTCCAGCCCAGCTCTCTCTATCAGCTCTGCCCCAGGCAGGCTCTCAGCATTTCAGAGCCAAGGCCAGCCTGGGAATGGTTTTATTTTACAGCCCTTCCAAGTGGTCAGGCCTTGGCAGGGGCTGCCCAGGGAGCTTTGCAGTGCCCATCCCTGCAGGTGTCCCCTGGGGGTGGCACTGAGTGCTCTGGGCTGGGGACAAGGTGGCCATGGGGCACAGCTGGGGCTCCAAGGGCTGGCAGGGCTGTGCCAGCCCCAGGGATTTGGGGATTGTGTGACTCCAGGAAGCTCAGTTCTTTCTGGGATGCTGGCAGTGCTGATGTGCCACCAAGCTCCAAGGGCAGCAATGCTGTCACCAGGGCATGGACACAGCCTGTCCTCCATGCACAGGGACAGGATGAGCTTCCCCTTTAGCACTGGACTGATTATGAGGGATTCATTGGATCTCTGTGAGTCAAACTCCAGCCTTTCCTCATCAATGTTTGAGTAACCCCTGCTGGCACTTGGCAGGAGTTCAGCAGTGCTGTGCATCCAGAGGGAGTGGGACATCCCAAGCCGTGGGGCTGGGAAGGTGCTTGTGCTTATTCTGTCACAGTTCCCCAAAACAGGGCAATCCTACAGACTGCTACAGTACTTCCCTGGCAGTGTCCAAGGTTGGATGGGGCTTGGAGCAGCCTGGGACAGTGGAAGGTGTCCCTGCCCATGGCAGGGTTGGCACGGGATGGGCTTTAAGGTCCCTTCCAACTCAAACCATTCTGGGATTCTCTGATGTCCATGACATGGGTTTCAGTCTGAGAGGGGCCCCTGAGTGAAGGGTCCCCCACTTCCAGCACCAAATGAGCCTCAGGCAGGTGCAGCACCTTGGGGCTCCCTCCAAAACCCTGCCCAAGGTTCCTGCATTCCAGCCACAAGATTTTTTTTCTCCTGTTGGCCATTTCAGCTGTCACTGTAATTGATGCTGGTGAAACTATACTATTAAGAAACAAAGTGATGCTACTTGTGAAACACTGAAATGAATGTTCACCCTATTGGCAGCACTGAGTAAAATTAGGACAGCAATAAAAGGTTAGACAATGACATTTAATGGTACTCCAGTAATAGATTTTATCACTTTTTTATCCTACCACAACAATGTGTATTTTCATATACATTATATTTAATAAAATGTATTGATATGGAATTAGGAAAGCATGGGTTTAGTACTATTTACATATTTTAATTGAAACAATTTTCTTAACAACATTGAAAAATAGAAACTTAAAGTTCTCTTAATCGTGTTTTCAGCCAGTTAGTGGTAAACAAATGCATGCCTAGGAAGTCACACTCCCTCTAAAATGTGGTCAGTTGAAAGTTTCTAACTAAAGTGTGTATCTCTGTTTTGTTTCAAAAAATACATAAGTATGTCTGTCATTTCTGATACAAAATTCTACACTATCTTCAATAAATAAATAATAAAGCGATTCTGAAAAGTATGAAATGTAAACTTTGTTGTCCCTCCAACATATATTTTTTTCCTTCCCATTGCTTGAAACATTACAGTGGTCTTTTAGGAAATTATAATACACAGACACTTCCCAGCACAGTTTACACTTATTACCATACTGATCTACCTACCTGTTATGGATATATCCTAATTTCCTAATGGAAACCAATAAGACTTGGAGTGCTAGAGAACACCGCCGACACAGGAGAGGTGGGAACCAGTACTGAAAGGACATGCAAGGAACACCAAAACCTAACAACAGCTCCACGAGAACGTTCACATGCGAATGACACGGGCTGGCACCTCCCATCCGGAATGAAGTCCTTACAAAAATACCAGTGGATGCGTGGCAGGGCATGAACAAAAGGAATCTAAGCAGAACAAAGAGGAATTTGACTCTCAGGGATCTTTTGTCCCCTCACGTGTGCCTGAGGGAAAGCAGACGTCGTGCCCACCTGGAGCCAGGAGCTTTGCCAAACAGGGACGTGGGCCTGGACCTTGTTATCCATGGAGTGAAAGGGATGGACAGCCCTGGCATTCCCCGGATGGCTTTGGGTTCCCCACTCTGCAGCACCACGAGCTCTCTGGTGACATCCAGCAGCCGCCCCGTGGGAGCTGCAGGACGGGGCTGCCCCGAGCCCCCAGGACTGCCCCGAGCCCCCGGGGCTGCCCTGAGCTCCCGTGCCCTGGTGCACACAGGTGAGCTCAGCTCCATACCTGGGCACCACCTGTGCACTGCTGTGCACACCAGGCCCTGCAGGCTGGATCTTCCTGAGCTGGAGCCACGATTGTTTCTCCTTCCCCACTGCAGGTGAGGCTCAGCCTGGGGGCAGCAGCAGTGAAGGAGTACCCGGGTACACACGACACCAGCAGGGCTCTGTGCCTCACCCTTGGCCTCCTGCCCCAGCACTTACAGTTCTGGGGACAACAGCACCTTCCACAGGGACCGAGGGCTGGACTCTTCTGGAGTGCAATTCATCTCTGTGCAGAAGGCCTGGACAGCTTTTATTTTCAGGGGCAACACGAGTCATGAAGTGGTATGTTAATAGAATCTTCTCTGTTTATAGATATAGACTATTTATTTTCTAAGTCTTTTTCAGTACCATCATGAAGATCTTCAGAGATCTTCTTGCTGCAAAACTGCTCCTTCCATTCACTCACATTTACACACCACTCTGCTAGGCAATAGGCACAGAACTTCTGAAGGGGAAAACCCTCAGAAAGCCTCCAAAACACACCCACACTGCCTCCTCCACGGGAATTAAAGAACTGGAGCAAGCACAGCCACCCATGTGTTTTGCCAGCCATCCCCACTGCAGCACAAGGAACAACAGGGTTGTTTCACCAGCCCAGGAAACCAACGCCAAGTTCCACACAGAGAGATTGAGGGAGATCTCCTCACTAAATTGGGATTCGCGTGTTCAGTGAGAATTATCAAGGCACAAAGATGCTCCTGTTTGCTTTGATAACCCTCTGACGTGTGAAGGGCGAGCAGTAGTTTCATGCCACACCAGCAAGGACTCGGTGACAGCTTCTGCAGACACCTCCTGCAGCGACCTCTGGCTGAATTCTGACACTGGCCCCTCTCTCCTAAGGCTCATCAAACAGCTGCAGGTCCAGGCGCACCACGATCTCTCCCGTGGGGACTTCGTGCAGAAGGAGACACTTTGTAACTGGTCCCTTGGAACCCTGATCCTTCTTGATGTCTGCCACACGGATCTCTGTCCTGCCCAAAAAGTCTGGAATGCAGAAACACAGCGTGCTCAGGAAAGGGAAACCAGAGCCTGCAGAAGGACCTGAACTTCCACACACACAGCAAAAGAGAAAATAAGCCTTCAGTCCTACTCTAGTTGTGCACTTGAAGAGGGCCAAAGGCTGCCAAGCTGCGTAGAAGGAGATTTAGCCAGAACTTGTTAAACAGCAGCAGCATTAAAACTAAATGGGCCCATGAGTGGAAAAACCCACTGTGGAACTCACAGCTGCCTTGCTTCAGGGACTTCTGGATTTTATGATGTGTTAGCCAAAGGCCAAAGTTCTCAGTTAGACCTGAGAGTGAACCTGCTGGAGATGACAGAGCCAAGCAGGTTTTCAGCCCAGCAACGAGGTCAATGAGCCAGTACCAGTCCTATCCAAACACTCCCTGAGAGATTGTGACTCCAAAATACACCTGCGATGCTCCACGTGTTCATCCCAGCTTATGAAGTAAGAATGAGAGAGGCTGTGGAATCCCCAGCCCTGGAAGTGTTCAAGGCCACTCTGGATGGAGCTTGGAGCAATGTGGGATAGTGGAAGGTGTCCCTGCCCATGGAAGGGGTTGGAACTGGATGATCTTTAAGGTCCTTTCCAAGCCAAACTTCCATGACTCTATTGGGTTTGGAATCCTGGGCTCATTTTTGTTATATGCAATAACTACTGTTATTGCATATAACAGGAGGTCAAAGTAATTTCTCTTCCTCCTGCCTGAACCCATCTGTGTGCAAGGAGCATCCAGAGCTTTCTGGAGCCTTAGCAGAGTTACAAATCACACTGTAGTTGTTGTCTACTGCACAAGAAAAGGAACTCTCAAGACCCAGAGGGAGCTGCATCCTTTTTGTGCTGATACTGGGTGGAGTGAGGTTGACTCCTAAATACACAAAGAGAGTCAAATCTGGGATATCTTTAAAAATCATCTCCCAACCCAGCCCATTCCCTCTGCTTTCCCTCAGCAGGAATGCTCCTCAAAAAAGAGCTCTGCAGTTGCCCTTGGCAGGGGCAGCCCCTTACGCACCATCCGGGGAGAACTGGTCCCGCTCGAACACCGTGATGCACAGCACGTCCTGCTCCAGGTCCTTGATGAAGAACTGGCAGTTGGAATTCCACTTGGGATTGAGGGTGTCCTGGATGGTCTTGGTGATGTGGCACTGGGAGCCCATGGTCACCTCGCAGTAGGGGTTGCTCTTTCCTGGGAAGATGGGAACAAACAGAAATGAGCGGGGCTTTCTTAGCTGTGTGCTCCTGCTCCTGAGCTTCCTTCTGAGCTGGGAAAGACCTTGGCCACACCAGGCCTCTGGCCCCATCCCAGGCTCTGCTTCACTGCCTCTGTAATGGGCTACATTAACATCACAGTGAATGCTCTGCTGGGTGCTGAGCACCCTCCACCCTTCCCTTCAGGACTTTATGGCTTGTGTGGTGGAAACAAAGCCAGCCTGAAACAAAAGCCTCATGCAGGACCACGGCTCAGCTGCACAAAGCCACCTCTGCCTCTTTTACCTTCATTAAACCCACGTCATTTAACAAGGTCATGTCTGGGACAGAACCCCTGCAGAGTTAGGCTGGCAAATGGGAATGACCTCTGGATGGAGCAAGGAAAGCCAAGGCACTCACCATGGGACCTGCAGGGTTTTAGCTCAATGCCTTCAACAACATTCACCATCAGCCTCCCGATGCCTGTTGCTCTCTGAGAGCGAACTGTGGTGGAACAGAAGAGCAGAGAGAAATGTCACCAATGGATTTTCCTGCCCAGGGACTTTTCCACAGAAGATGAGACCCCCACATCCTATGCTGTACCTAAGTAGGCCTTTTCCCTCTTCTTCTTTTCAGTCTCTATGTAAAGTTCTGAAGCAGCTTTGATCTTCTGAACCCAGGCAGTCCTTCAGAAAGAAAGGAGAGAAAAAAAAAAAGTTGCAAAATGCCATTTCTGTTTTTCCCTGCTGGAGCACAGCAGACAAAACTAAAGCTGCCCCTCCTTGCCAGCCAAGGCTCTGGCCCCATCCCAGGCTCTGCCATCCCACAGCTGTCTGCCTGGAAGGGATCTTAGTGGAATTCACAGCACCTGCAGAATGTAACCATCCCAAGGCAGCAAACCTAACACACAGAGAAAGCTCAAGAGAAACATGAGAAGGAGATCCTTGGTGAGAAAACAAAAGGTCTCAAGAACAGGTTTGCTTTCATCCAGCCCCTTGTTTTCCTGAAAAAAAATGACTTCTTGGAGCAGTACAAGACATGGCTGCTGCTGAGGTGGCCACTGTCCTTGGGCCCTGAGATTTCCTACCCAATTCTTCTGACTCTCAGGACTTTAAAAGTGTAACCTGGGGAGTCCACGGGTGGTGAGTGGGCCTAAGAGTCACAGAGAAACCAAACTAAGAGTCACAGAACATCCTGAGTTGGAAGGACCCACATGGATCACTGAGTCCACCCCAACAATCCCAGCCTGTGCCTGAAGGAGGCTGAGGGGGAAGGCTGACAGAGAAAAAGGGAGGCAGAAGGGCTACTAAGTGACCTCAAGGGCTTCAAAGAACTGCTGTGACTTACAAGGAAGCCTGAGTCAAGGAAACATGGGAGAATCTGGAGGCTGTGGATCAGTTCTGGAACCCCAAATGAAGAGCTGCTGCTCCACAGGACATTCATGGTTTAGGTTGGGAGCTCACCCAGTCCCACTCCCTGCCATGGGCAGGGACACCTGCCACTATCCCAGGTAAAGCAGAAGACAGAATTGCATCTCTTGGCTTCTTCACATTACTGTAAAATGTGAAATGCAGCCTAAACATCCACCCTCAGCCATTTCATCACTGGTCTAGCTGGAATTCAGGAAACATCATTATTTCTCCCTCTTTTTAGATCACCATATTCCCAAGAAGGAATTTTCCAGTCTTGTAAAATAACCAGCCTGGAGAGTGCTCTGCAAGTTTCCATCACAACCATTCCCATCCTACATTTACCAGAGTTTTTAAATGCCCACAAAGGCCCTTACCTTTCATTAATGCTTTCAGCCCGGAGTGTGTAGACTCTGTCAATGTGGGAGATGTGGAAGATGGGCTCATCTCCAGAAGGGTCTGTGGGTAATTTTACCAGTACCTCGTTTAGGAAAATGGGCTGTAAAACATCAGCAGAGCTGGAGTTGTACTGCAGAGTCTGCACGGGGGCATTCAGCACACATCAGCCCACAGCAGGATTATTCCATGCCCCAAGTATCTCACCACAGTATCATCTGTGATACTCTGTCACAGCAGAGTATCTCTGCCTCCTATATTTCTGCAGAAAATTTTAAAAGCTGACAAAGACAGAGGTGCCTGCATAGCCTGGGGACACTCCTGGAGAGAGCCAAGCACAGCAGAGTTTCCTCCCCCAGAGAGCAGCGAACGCTGCTCTCCCTCTGCTCCCTCAAACACAGGACCCCTCATGGAAGGGTTTTATTCAAGCAAAACCTCCAAAGCATCTTTTATCTCACTAGAGCCCACAGCCACCCTTCCTGCCATCAGCCCCTGAACCCCAAAGCTTTCAGACCTCTTCTCTAGGAAGGCTCCTGCCCACACCCCCAGAATGGAGCTCCTGAGCCCTGTCCCCATCCCCGTGTCGGAGCAGCACTTACAGTTTTGTACATTTTGTACTGCAGGTTGGACTTGGGGCTGAAGACCTTGTCTGTGCCAGAAGAGCCAAGAGGTTTTATGATCTGAGTGAGGAGGAGGAAGTCGTTGAAGAGAAAACCATACAGCTCCTTGTTACTCTTGGCTTTATAGAGCTTCCCACTGTGCAGGAACTTGCGTGGTCCCAAGCAGTTTGTAACTGAATTAAAAACGAGTTGCTGCGAAAAGTAGAAGAAGAACAACAACGCACTGTATAAAGTGAAACAATTGGGGCTGCCCTGCAAGAGACCAAATACAGATTTGAGTCCTGCTTCCAGTCTGTGTCACAGGGATGACGAGCCATGCCTCGAGCACGACAAGCAGGCAATGTCACAGGAGGGCCCGTGAGAGTCCCTGAAGGCCACAGGGGCACGGGCTGGGCAGGCAGGGGAAGCCAAAAGCATCTGTGCCCCCTGGCCACGTACATGCACCTCCAGGGCTGGGACTGAGCCAGGGCGCCTGTCCTGGGTGAGCAGCAGCTCTGCCAAAGGCCTCTCCACAGGCTGAGCTTCCTTAAGGGCTGCATTCTGAATTGTGTTTGAATTTCACCCCTTAAAACACCCCAGAGGACTTCAGATGGCCATGATACCCCGAGTTAGAGCTGCTCACCATTGGCACAATCCCAGACTCAGCCAGGGCTTGTTAGGGATCAGCAGAGTCTTGTCCTTACCTAAAGTGCCATTTTCAGGTTTATTTTCACCAGGGTTTGGCACAGCTCTCCCCACCCAGGGCAGCTGGCTTTGGAGGGCTCCTTTGGCAGGCTGGAAACCCTTGGACAGAAAACAGGGAGAGGCTGGGCTGTTCCCTGCCATGGCTGGGGCTGCTGCTGGTGATGGTGCAGCGAGCACCACGGGCTCTGTCAGGGTGTGGAGCTGCTGTTCTGGGCAGGCACCACCTACAGCAGATACAAGCAGCCACTTTCCTGCTGGCAGACAGCTGGATGTGCTGACAGTGTCACACCCATCCTTCTCCCAGAACAGTCAGCTTTCCTCAGGTGAAATGCCATTTTTCTACTTCATGAACCAACCAGTGCTCGTTATTTTTTTACCTTCTAGAATGGTGCATACTTTGAAAATCAAGTTGTGATCTGTCTGCCTCTGTTACCTCCACCAACAACAGGAAGGCCATCAGAATATCTTCCCTCCTTTTGCAGGACACACAAACACAATATTTCTAGAAACTTATCACGTAACCATAAAAAATAACATGGTGTGGGAGGCAGGGATTCTCTCTGTAAAGTCTCCAGAGACTCGATCAGTATTCTTGAGTTTTCAAATGTATACAAAGCTTTATTACAGAAAATATTTCTAAATATTTATTTTTTAAAGCAGTCCATCGTGGTCAGGTGCAGCTTTGGAGTGGGATACAGCATCCCCGTAACGCCTGCACCACAAAGAACCGGAGAACTGGGAAGTGTTGGTTGCAAATGGCAGCGCTGAACCGGGACTGCTCCGGAGCCAGGCGCCCAAGCAGGGCTCAGCCACACGAGCAGCAGCCAGGACGTGCAGGAGGCCAGCTGGGGACAGGGCCAGGGGAGGGGGCGGCTGCTGCCGTGTCCCCGTCCCCGTGGCCGGCGTGGCGGCCCCGGTTACCTCGGAGAGGCCCTCGCACTGCACGTGGGCCTGGATCCACTCCAGCCTGTCCGAGTTCTCCTTCTCCCGCACGCCCTCGTTCACCTGCGAGCACAGCTCCTCCGCCTTCTCCAGGGCGTGCTTCAGGTGGCTGTGGTCAGGGTGGTTCTCGGGGGTGTTCTCTATTATCTGCACACAACAAAGGCAGCATCAGCTCGGCTGCACTCGCTCTGTCAGCCCCACGCTTCCATTCCAGGCCTTCACTGCCAGCAGAGCCGGCCCCACGTTTATTTTCCTCCTTGACAGGCATGAGAAATGGGAGACAAACACTATTTGGGAACAGCTGGACTGCAGGCCTGCCTGCACAGCCTTTGCACCAGGACATGCTGGCTCCTTTGACAGAAGCACACACATTGCAGCCAAATACAGAAATGCGGCCACGACTGCTGAAGGAATCCCTAAATGCCAACATCCAATTCATAGTTCCCTGTGAAAGCCTTGGGCCATGTTCCATGGTGTTATTTGGGATGGGAAGTGTTAAGCAACAAGTGGGAGTTAGGAAAGGGCTGTAAATCCCCCAGCACCATCAGCACAGGGGGAACCTGCAGCAATCCAGGCTCAGCCTGTGGGGAGGGAATGGCACTGAGGGGAAAGGCAAATATGAGCACAAGGTCGTCTTATTGCTCCTGTTATCTGAATTTTAAATTTTCTCTCAGCAATTGCTGCCTTCTGGTTCTTGGGGTACAAGCTTCATCTCTGTTTCAAATGGAAATATCAAATAATTTTGCCAAAGCCCAAGGAGTGATCCCATTTTCTATACTGGAATCAAGTATTAAAGGACATCCCACATTCCCCAGCACATCAGAAACCTCACAGTGACAAATCCTGACACAAATAAGGAAACAACCCTGTAATTAAGGTGCAAGCAAAGCAGCACCAAACCCATCACGTGTGCGAAGGAACGTACATTTTTAATTATTAGTGGGTATCTGGTTACCCGTTGCATAGGCTTTAGTAGAAAACTTGATAGTGGCATTCCTTTACAGCGAGGATCCATTGCTAACCTCTGAAACATTAGAGAGGTAAAATCTGGTTAGTCAGGTGGTTTAAACCCCGAGAAATGAGCTCCTCCAAGAAAGGAAAAGGGAAGGCAATAAATGAGCACCAATCCTCAGCTAAATCTGCTCTGACATCTCAACATCAGTAGGAGAACTCCTGGTGGATTTACAGCACTTCTTCACCTGCCTTGTCTGGACAAGAATCCCAGAATCACCAGGGCTGGAGGAGCCCTCCAGGATCACCCAGTGCCACCAGCATCACCCCAAGCCCTGTCCCCAAAGGCCATCCAGACTCCTCTGGGACACTCCCACAGACAGTGACTCCAAACCTCCTTGGGCAGCCCCTGCCAAGGCCTGACCACTCTGTGAAGGAAAAAAATGTTTCTAATTTCTGATCTGAGCCTCCCCGATGCAATTTGAGGCAATTTCCTCTTGTTCTGTCCCTTAGAACATGGCAGCAGAGCCCGACCCCCCTCACTACCTCCCCTGTCAGGGAGTTGTGCAGAGCTACAAGGTCTCCAGCCCCTTCCCAGCTCTGTTCCCTGCTCTGGATGTGCTCCAGCCCCTCCAGGTCCTTTTTCAAGCGAGTGGCCCAGAAGTGGACACAGCCCTCGAGGTGGGGCCTCCTTCGCTCAGCAGATCAGCCAGGTGAGAAGATGCTCAGAATTCCCAGGGGCTGCTGCTTCTCCTACCTTGACAAACTCCTTGAACTCGGGCACTTCGTCCGTTTTCTGCTGGATGAGGGCGGCCCCGTTGAGCTGGCAGCTGCAGAAGCGGATGTAGGGCTGCATGTGGGGCAGCTGCGCTGTCAGGATGTCCCCGATCATCTTCACCGGCATCTTCTCCCCGGACATCTTCTTCCTCACCCGCAGGGCCCTGAGCAGCAGCAGGGCACGGGGTTGGACAAAGAGCCACTCCTCAGTCACGGAACAAAGGGCTGGGTTCTTATTCATTATGGACACCCAGAGAACCATAAACACACCAGCCACAAGATTTACTGCAGGGATGTAATAAACCACCAGGCTGCACCCTCAGCCAGTCCCCTTCCCTCTCCTGCTCATCCAGATGCTGCCTGATTTAATGCAATGCCAGCTCACAGGTGAGAGGAAGAGGAGGGTAATTTCCTTTTCTATTGGCTTAGAAAGAGAGTTACTGGTGTGTGAGTGAGGCAGGGAAAAGCCCATCACTTTTTCGTTTGGTTTCCTAAGGAAAGGTTCATTGTCACTTGTCCTGTCACCACCACAACTTTTCAACCTGTGGGCCATTTTCAAATACATTTTACAAAAAAAAAAGGGAGATATTACAAAGCTCTAAAATCCCTGTAGGTTCAGTGAAAACTAGCAGCTGAGTAGGGAAAGAAAATAACTTTATTAATGCTTTTGCTTATCAAGGTGCAGGTTTAACTGTGCCCTCACTCAGCTTCCCTGGCTGTGATTTGGGGCAGCAGCACCCAGAGCTTTGGAGAGGGGTCCTCTGGGCACAAACCCTTTGGAACCAGGCAGGGAAAGTCCTGCCCTGTGGGAAGCCTTGGCAAGCCCTGCTCTTCAGGGGAGAGGAGGATTTGCCTTCTCCAGCACTGGAACCAAGTGAGTGCAAATGGCAGGGAACTGCTGGGTTCTTCTCAACAGCTCACAGCAAACACTGCCCCCAGTTTGCTTTTTCCCCAAGGAGAAACACGTGGCCCCTCTGGTTAGGATTTGTGTAAGTGGCAAATGTTTTCATGCAGATAAAAGGAGAAGCAGGGGGAAAGACCCAGGGTTTTGTTTTTGTGAAGTATGGGGGGAAAAAAACCAACTTACTTCAGTAGTTTTATATTGCACATAATCAGCTCCTTCCAGTTCACAAAAATCATGGCAACTTCTTTTTCTGTGACCAGCTCAGACTCCATCAGTGGTTTCTGGAAGATCTGGGGAGTGAGAAGAGGCCAATTCGAGTGCACAGGGTAAGTACAGACAGACCCAGCACACTCTGTGTCCCTGACATCCGTGGTGTTCCCTGGGATGGCTGGGACTAAGGAGACCCTCAGGTACGAGGGGCTTTAACAGGGAATACTCTGAATTTGTAGGGGTGCTGGGGTTCATTCTGATCTGGATAATCTGTTTGAAACCTGGGAATTTTAGCAGAGCTCTCCTGCAAAAGATCCCAGCATTCCTTTGATAATGCAACTGAAAATAGGTTTTACTTTGGACTCTTCTATGGAAGACCTGATTTCTCTGAGAGTCCCAAGTTTGCATATCTTGAACTCTTCTTCAAAAAAGGACTTTCCTTCTCTGTCAAAAGAATTGTCCATAGTTGGCTGTACTAAATCCTTCTTTCCCTACCTCTAAAGCCAGTCCCAGGAAGTGATAACTGAGCCCCACTGTGAGCACAGGGAATGTGCTTCATTCCAGAACATTTGTTTAGGCTTCACAACTTGTACATGAGAATTAACACTGAGAGTCAGGAGCAAAAGGGCTTTGCTATAATGGCACTTCAAAGATCAGCATTTTGGTGATGGTAGCAAAGGGGATTGCCACAGTTTGCACCCACCCACAGCTGTATCTCTATCTGTATCAGCACAGATAAAGCAGGACTGTCCAGACATCCCCAAGGCAGGCAGGCCAGCAGTGCAATGCAGGATCTCTGCACAGTGCAGCACTGCCTTGGCCAGGGAGGAGGCCCCGAGGCTGCCGAGCTGCCCCTCCTCTGTCACCCACTGCCCTCCTCTGTCACCCACTGCCTGACCTCTGTCACCCACTGCCCTCCTCTGTCACCCACTGCCCGACCTCTGTCACCCACTACCAGCTGCAGGTCGGTGACGTAGTTCTCCTCGGTGACGATGAGCTCGTGGATGTAGCCCTGCCTCTTCCTCTCCGTGGGGGTCAGCATGTCCAGCAGGTGCAGGTCTGCACACCCTGCAAGACACAAGAGCAGCTCCTTCAGGGGGCTGTGCACGGGGACTCAGCCCTGGGGAGCAGAGCTGCTGCCTGCTCCTCTCTCTCACTGCTCTTCATGTGCCACAGCCCTGGCAAGGCTGCATCTCTCAGTGACTCCAAACATTCCATTTTTATTTATTAAAACCAAGGCCATCTCTGGGTGTGAACTTTTCCCTGGTGGCCAGGCCTTAAAGTCTCCCTCACCTCTGCCTGCCCATTCCCAGCCTCTCCCTGGAGGCCCCCGACCCCTTGGGTTGTGTCACTCCAATCCCACATGCATGGCTGGCAGTGAAAAAGGGGGAAAGGACTCCACGTAAGGAAAACACAGAGATATCCCAGAGGGAATGAGGGAGGAGCTGCAGTGACCCAGTGCTCGAGGGGCACTTTGGAATGATCCCCTCAGCTGATGGATGCTCGATATTCCAGGTTCACCTTGACCCCTCTGCTCACAGAAATCCTGCTCAAGAAGGGCCTGCAGGGCCTCTTCACTTCACACTTCATTAAAAACTGCTCCCAATGTTTGAAGGGCCCGAGGCAGGCAATGCAAAGGTCACTGGAGATCCTCACTGATGTCTGGGCTGAGCCAAGGGCTGGGTTTTGTTCTCCTTTCTGTTTAAAAGCACAGGAGAAGGTGGGCACTGAGAGCTCCTCTTCCATCAGTTCTGTCCTTTCCTTGCTGCAAACCTCCCTGGCAAGGATCCCCTCAGATGGGAGGATTTTTATATCAGTTCCACAATCTTGAATTTTCTTTTCTACTCTGAATCAGATAAAACATTTAATTCCATTCTTTCTTCTGTAGGCCATTATTTTTCAGCTGAGCTTAATTAAGTTCTTCCAAGACTGAAACACAGAATTTTTTCTTCCAGTTTTTGCTACTTTTCTGCATAAATACAATGCATTTCAAAAAGCAAAGTTGATTTCAAACAGGTAGAAAATGTTTGGCTCTAAAAATGATCTATTCAATTATTTTCACACAACCAAAATTCTCCAGTTGAATTTTTTCCCTCACCCCTCAAATTCAGTATATTCCCCATGGAAACAAACTTTCCTTAAGGAAACATCAGGCCCCAGGTAACTCTTTCAGTTCTTTGCATATAAAATTAATACTCAGGGAATATTTCCTGCATTTTTAGCTTCCTGAATGGAGCTCAGACAATGCCACTGAGAAGGCCCAGGTGTATCACCAATATTTCCATGGAAAACCAGCAACATCTGCTTTAACTGATCTGTGCTCCTGAGAGGGGAATGATGGATTTGACTTAAAAATAAAATAAAACTAAAAAAAAAGAAAAACCAACCAAAAAACCCCCAAAATCCAAACCCAAACAAAACCAAATGGAACAAACCCAGCAGAGGAGACACAGACACAGACAGCCAGGCTGTTTCCTGTCTGACTCTGAGGCTGGGAGCTGGGATCAGGTGGGAAGCACAGTGACACCAACAAGGCTCCCTTGAGACACAGGATGCCACAGCCCCTTACAAAGTGCAATTGAAACTTGGCATAAAAAGCAGATGTGGAGAAACATCATCTTTGTGCCAAGACAATGAATTTTGGCCCCTTGCAAAAGCCAGAAGTTTGATGTCTCTTGAATAAATGCCTGATTTCAGAGCAGCTTCTTTGGTCCCAAGTAAAGCACAGGCCTAAGGAACAGCCCCAGTTCTCCCAGTGCTTCATTAGAAGAGAACCAAGTGTTTAATTACTTTGCCTTGGAGAAGTTCTTGTTCAAAGATGTTCAAAATCCTTGAAGGTGATTTCCAAGCAGCAAGCCCTTGGAGGGAGCACTGACATTTTGAATAATGAACCATTTAGTGGCTCCCTTGGCAGCCAGCTGGGCTGTGAACAACAACAAACACTCTGCTTTTGGGTGTGAAGTGTTTGGGGGAAAAAAACAAACCCAGATCTGAGCAGAACATCCCAAAGAGACTTTCCTGGTAGGAGATTTCTTTGTGAGGTGCAAAAGTACAGAGATTTTTCTTGTCTTTGTATTAGGAAGTGAAGAAGAACTGGATTCCTTTCCAGGTGGGAATGTCTGGCTCCTTCTTCATGGATGCCAAAGAACTTTGGTGAACTGGATTCCACAGATCACAGAATCAGGGAATGGTTTGGGTTTGGACCTCAAAGCCCACCCAGTGCCACCCCTGCCATGGCAGGGACACCTTCCCCTGTGCCAGGCTGCTCCAGCCCCAGTGTCCAGCCTGGCCTTGGGCACTGCCAGGGATCCAGGGCAGCCCCAGCTGCTCTGGGCAATTCTTTGCTTCAATGCAGTAAAGCCAGGGAAGGATGGGGAGATGACAATAACTAACTTGGTTTGTTCTCAGGAGGATGAATCCATGAATTCTGCCATTCTGGCTGGACTTGGAGGACCAACAGACAAATGCTGGAACTGCAAATCTGTGCCTTGATCTCCCAGCAGCACAGTCCCTGCAGATTAATGGGCTCCAGAAATGCAAAAAATCACTTCAAATCCTTTGTACAGAGTAAAGATGTTGACTCTTCCTTACTAAGTCAGCCCTGAAGATCTGGGTCTCCCAAGACAAACACTGAGCCTAAAACAAGATGCTGCTTTTTGGGAAGGGAGGTTCTGCTGTGGAAATCACTGATCCACATCCACAGCCACAGCTGCTCATTCCTTCTCACGTGGGGAGGTTTTCCAAGCAGTGCCACTGCCACATTTCCCTGTAAGCCTCGTGCTGGCCCAGGCTGTAGTGACAAGGTCACAGGAGACAGCAATCTGTCCTGTCACAGGGGACCAGGAGCAGGCAAAAGTGATGTCACAGTTTTCCTCCAAATCCTTAAGGAGAAGGGAACAGCACACCAGGAGAGCACCCCTTCACTCAGGTAAATTATTCACAGATCCCAAATCCCCGGGGCTGGCACAGCCGCTTTGCTCATTGAAGTCCCCAGGTGGGCAGTGAAGTCTTGCTGGAAACCATTTTCATTTGAACTGCTCCAGGCCCATGTCCTGAAACCCAAAGGTCACCTCAGCACCGTGTTCAGCTGAGGAGCCCTTTGTTCCCCTGCCCTCTGTGCCCTTCTACTCATGCAGTAACATTTGAGCTACATTGGTCCTGAATCTACTGAAGTTGTCCAAAATAAAGTTAAAAGAAGTAATTTGTCATCTGAATTTACTGCACAGAAGTTGCTATTTAACAAGTGAAATAGCTGGAGTCAATAACCAAAAAGAACTAAATGTGCTTTAAAACCAGAGAACAAAACCAGAATTTCAGTGATTTTGCTTATGGGAATAAAATGTGCTCAGTGAGCTCATGGGGACAGAAGTGAAGCCACTAAAGCTCCAAAAGAATTGAGGTTTAAATAAAACTGATCCTGAATAGAAAGGAAATGTTCTTGATAAACCCACATTTCAGACTTAGAGATGACTTGGACAGATTTCAAGTGTTGAAAAGAACAAATTCTCTAAAAGAACATCCATGGGAATTCTTTGTCAGCAGTTGAATACAGAAGAAATTCCCACAAACAGTAAAAACAGTGAAGAATAAAATCCAGCAGCACTGGCAGCCTCTGGAATTCCAGTCTCCTCTCCATCCCTCAAGTGACAATTCCTGTGCAAGGGGAGAAGGCACCTGGCACAGGGAAGTGAAGACAAAGAACCAATTCCCAGAATGCCAAAGAACCAATTCCCAGGATGATTTGGCTGGGAAGGGATTTTAAGGATCAGCCAGTGCCACCCTGCCATGGCAGGGACACCTTCCCCTGTGCCAGGCTGCTCCAGCCCCAGTGTCCAGCCTGGCCTTGGGCACTGCCAGGGATCCAGGGGCAGCCACAGCTGCTCTGGGCAGTCACTGTCACACTCCCTTTCTCATACAGATATATTTATATATTTATATATATTGTTATCCGTAAAGACAACTAAAGCAGACACTGCAATGCCTCATTCCCTGCAGCTCAGGGAGAATCCCTGATGAGGAGGAAGAGGATGAAACCCTCCCTGCTGAGCTAGCAGAGCACCCTTAGGGACTCAGGGAGGAAATGAACATTTCAGGGATTTCAACATCTGTCACTTAAGCCCCAAGGGAGCATCTGTGTCTGGGACTCTGTACATGGGATTTATTTTGCTCTTCTGCCTGAGGAGTCCTGGCACCAGCAGTGCCTCGTGTGTGTTCAGCTGGGACAGCAGCAGGAATTTGCCCATGGAAAGGGTGCTCAGGCCTTGGCAGGGGCTGCCCAGGGAGCTTTGCAGTGCCCATCCCTGCAGGTGTCCCCTGGGGGTGGCACTGAGTGCTCTGGGCTGGGGACAAGGTGGCCATGGGGCACAGCTGGCACTGCCTGGGCATTTGGGATTCCCTGTGAGCCACAGAGGGAATCCCAAACTGCTCCTCCCAGGAACTGCAAAGCTGCCCCAGGAGTTTCCAGTGACCCTGGAAGGCTCCAGCCCCAGCCCTGAAGACACAGGGAGGTCCTGCACCCTCAGGGCACTGCAGGAGCTTCGTTTTCCTCTCACTCCATGGAAAGAGGAAGAAAAGAGCAGCACCTGAATCCCCTACAGCTGAAGCACTGCAAATATCTCACTACAGATTCCATCTGTAGTTCTGGCCTGAGGTCACAGGACCCACAGTGTCCCCAAGGGCCAGAGCTTTCAGCCGAGTCAGTTTTTCAACCCAGCAGCTCAGGATGGGCTAAGAGGGAGAGGCTCTCGTTCAAATGTGAGTTAATGCACAAAATACTGACACACTGGAGTCAAAGCTGGCTCCATCCCCTCAGACAGCACTGAAAATCACAAGTGGGATGTGCTGTTCCATTTCTGCAGTTGTCAGCAATGGCCATGATGGACAAGAATTATTTTATGGTAGAAATGAAAGATGTATTACTATTTAAATACTGTCCTAAAAAGAAGGAAAATCTGTCCAGTTGTGCATATTTTGAGACTTGAGATTCTGGCATAAAACACATCCCAAAACCAGGTAAACCCATGGCAAAGAAAGAAAGAATATTTGTCTATCAAAACAGTATCAAAATGCACTGATTGGTACCACACAGAAACCCTGGGCAGGGAATCAGAGAATCCCAGAACATCCTGAGCTGGAAGGGACTCACCAGGAGTCCAAGGACACGCCAGCAAATCCCCCCCTGAGCCAGAGGGGCAAACGATGGATGTGAGCAATGATGAATCTGAGCAATTAAGAGTGAGACCACGTTCCAAGAGCCAGGCAGGTGTCCCTGAGAGGGGCACAGGGCTCCGGGCTGGGCTGTGCCAAACCCTCGGGGCGAGCTCGGCGTGACCCAGCAACGAGACAACAAACACTGTCGGCCTCTTTTGTACGAAGGATTTAATTCTCTATACATGGAACTAATTGGAAAGGCTGGATTACAGTTGTTAAAGCTGCAGGTTTTTATATATTTATATAATTTACATTCATAGTGATGAAATACTGAAGTGCAACTGAGTAAGGAGCTTCGCTTGTCCTTTGCACCGCAGGACGGGTCGGGAGCGGGGAGCTGGGAGTGCTACAGGCTGCCAGCAGGAGCTCGGGGACAGTGGGACACAGAACCAGGACGTAACCCCGTGGTAAATCATTAGTAGCAGGGCTCTGTCGTGCTGAGGCGTTGGGAGAGGGCACTGCCAGCACTTCCAGCAAGAGCCGGGCGCTAACGGAGACGGGCACGGCTGCGGCACGGCCACAGCTCCACTGACAGCTCCAGCTCAATTCATTGTATAAACTCCACAGTCTAGTTTAAAAAAATGTAAACATTGGAAATGAATTGCAGGGAGATAGTTCTATACATTCGTTCTTGTCAGGAAAACGACTCGTTCAGAAGTGGTGCTCCACAGAAAGCACAGCCGAGCAGCCCGAGCGCCGTCCCTGCGCGAATTTGGGAATTTGGGAATTCTGGCAGCCCCAGCAGGGAACGTGGCACCCATTTCTGACCCGGGAATGTGACACCAGGGACAGACACAAAGCAGGCTGCTTGCTCACTGTTTGCAGCTACAAGTAATGTGCAAAATCAAATGAACAGAGCTGGGTCAAACACGGCTCCAGGTTTGCCTCTGGCACGGGAGGAGGGCGGTGCCCTCCCCACAGTGGGTTACACTCAACAACAACACCTGTTACAAACAGTACAGAAACTACAACAAAATACCTGGAACTGGGCACATTTAACTTCCTTAAACTGATTTTAACTCCTTCTGTTCTTTTGTAATTAAAAAAAAAAAAAAAGAAAAAAAAAAGAAAATTAAAAGAATAAAAAAAAAGACACATTGACAACACTGGACAAGTGAACAATAAAAAAGAAAGATACATAAAGTCTCCAATTCATGGACATTTGGAACAATTTTAATAGCACATGCAGCATTCCTTGATAGTGGGTCTTTTTGCACAAACAAAATTGCAATGAAGAAATTAAATTTATACTTTTCCTTTAAAAGGCTAGAATATATCTTTAAAAAATAATTTTTAAAACTACCAAAAGCACCTGTGCAAAGGTGGAAAAATTAGTTTGGTAACTCTGAAAGCCACAAAAGGACCCACTATCCTCTGATTTTTATTTTTTTTTTTGTGTGTGTGTTTTTGTTTTGTTTTTTTTTTGTTTTGAATCAGTTTAATTTTGTCGGTAATTAACTCAACCATTGCGATTCCATGCAACTAAATGTCAAATGAGGTAAAACTGCTGTGCAGTGTGTTCTTGACTCAGAAGGCAGTAGATGATCATGCTGGAAGCCACATGATCAAGGCTGCATCTCCCATCATCCCTCTGGGCACTGCTATGGGATAGTGGGTCTCTTTGAGGACTTTCAAGCCTGAGTGGGGGATGGACAACATATGATTCCTAGAAAAAGGAGGAAAACAACACATAAGCAAAACAAAACAATGAGCAAATTCAAGCTAGGGAAACGAGGCATGGCATGGAGCAAAAAATGATGGGAGGGGAGGGAACGTGCCGGGGGATGGGAACGAAACCAACCAAACACAGTGGGGGGACAGAAGGTCTTCAAAGAGCCCGGGGGCGCGGGGACAGCGGCAGCGCCGCACGTGGGACACGCCAGGGACACTCACACTGCTGGCTCGGGTCCGTGTCCGTGGTCAGCTTCACGTAGTTGGACGGGAAGAGCCCCACGTGGCCGTTGACCTCCCCCTTCCACCAGTCGGGGTCCTCCCTGTTGAGCACGGTGATGATCTGGCCCTTGTTGAAGGCCAGCTCGTCGTCGTTCTGCGCGCTGTAGTCGTACATGCCGATCACCTGGCACACTGTGGGGGACAGGGGTCACCTGGGGGCTGCAGCCACCCCCCCGGAGCGTCCCTGAGCCACCCTGCCCTGCCCAGAGCCCCAAAATCCCAGCCTGGGCATCCCTGGCAGCGCTGGCCAAAGGCTCCTGGAGCTCTGGCAGCCTCGGGGCCGTGCCCATTCCCTGGGCAGCCTGGGCAGTGCCAGCAGCCTCTGGGGAAGAGCCTTTCCCTGCTCTGCAGCCTGGCCTGCCCACATGCAGAGGTCACCTCTGGACGTTGCCCATGGCTCAGGACAGCTCCACAGAAATCCAGGGGAGCACCCCCAGCTCCCTCAGGGCTTCCTCTCAGGGTTGGTGTTCCAGCCCCTCTCCAGCCTGGCTGTCCCCTCTGGATGTGTTTGAGCACTCAGGACCCTGCAGTGACCAGAGCCCATCCTGGGGCTCAGCTCAGCCCCCCCAAACTGACTCCAGGGGTTTAAAAATCCCAAAGTGTTTCATGGAATCCCAGCAAGGCTTGGGTTGGAAGGGACCTCAAAGCCCATCCAGTGCCACCCCTGCCATGGCAGGGACACCTTCCCCTGCCTCAGGGTGCTCCTACCTGGCTTGGAACTGCTCAGTGGACAGGAAAATCTGGGACACATTGGAACTTCCACTATTGGAAGCTGCATATTCCAAAAGAAAGCCAATGGTGATGCCTTTGTTGTCCCAGTGAGGTTTTCAGAACAAAAAAAATCTTGGAAAATACAAGAGAAAATGAACAGAGCTGGATAAAAGCATCCCAGGCCATGCAGGCTGCTCTGCTGGCACCCAGCACTGGCTCCAGCAGGGATTTTCCATCCCCTTGCAGTGGAACTCATCCAGTCTCAGAATGCAGCTGGTTCTGCTCACTTCTGCCAAAGCAGCTCCCTGAGTTCTCTGAAGCAGCAGGACTGTTTACTTAAATAAATAATCCCCTCTATTTCTCTGCTGTTTTCTCTTTGCCAGGGTTTCTGGTTTTCCCACCAGACATCAGACTTGCATTAATGAGCCTTGCTGGCAGGTTCTCTCCAGTGGATTAATCCTAAAATTTGCTTTTATTTTCATCCTTGTACCAAGCCAGCAACTTATTTCAATTTGCCAAACAGCTTTTCCTTTTTCTTTTTTTTTAATTACAGTTTAATTAAGATTTTGATGTTCTGAAAAAAGTGCTAAAATTTTATTCTATAAAATTTAGCATGTGGGGAAAGTCCCAGATTGTCAAAGCTGAAATAATTTCAAAAATACATTAAAAAATCTCATCCTCTTTCCTTGTAAAAGGTTGTGTCTCAATGCTGAGCTGCCATTCCAAACCTGAATTCCATGAGGCTTTGGAGAGGCATTTGCTGCATCTTTGTAACAACCACCAGAGGGGCCAGTCAGCAGCAGTCCCACCAACACAGCACCATGAGTCCCTTCCAGCCCAGCCAGGCTGTGATTCTGAGGAAATGTTCCTGTTCTGTGGCTCCTGTGTCCCTTCCCAAACCTGCAGTGCAGAGGAAAGGTCCCTCCCCAGGGGGGTTTGTCCCACATCACCTCAGAGCAGGGGGCTCTGCAGGACAGGAGCCTCAGGTGCCAGCCCTGGATCCTCCTGAGCCTCTGCAGCTCCTGCTGCAGCCAGGGCAGGGCAGGGTGGGGATGGAGACACCTCCCAGAGCTCCTGTCCCACAGTCAGGGATGGGGATGGAGACACATCCCAGAGCTCCTGTTCCACAGTCAGGGCTGGGCTGGGCTGGTTTGGGGGAATGGAGGAACACCCCAGAGCTCAGAGCCCCTGTCCCACAGTCAGGGATGGGATGGGATGGACTGGGATGGTTTGGGGGATTCAGGAACACCCCAGAGCCCCTGTCCCACAGTCAGAGCAGGGCAGGGCAGGGTTATGGGATGGGCTGGTTTGGGGGATGCAGGAACATCCCAGAGCTCAGAGCCCCTGTCCCACAGTCAGGGATGGATGGGATGAGATGGGATGGGATGGGATGGGATGAGGATGGGGAGGGGATAGGATGGTTTGGGAGATGCAGAAACACCCCAGAGCTCAGAGCCCCTGTCCCACAGTCAGGGCAGGGCAGGGATGGGATGGGATAGGTTATGGGATGGGCAGGGATGGTTTGGGGGATGCAGGAACACCCCAGAGCTCCTGTCCCACAGCCAGGGCAGGGTAGGGGTGGGGATGGGAAAAACCCCAAAGGAATCCTGGGAGAGGATTTTTACACAGAAGATGAAAAAAAGATCACCAGGAAAGGGAAAAAGGGCAGGTACAAAGAGTTAAAAATAACTGAATTAGTCTGAGATCTGCACTGCACAAATAAACCAATGGCATTGTTCCACCTCAAATTCCCTGCTAAAAACCCCAAAGCAAGCAGAGCTCCCTTCAGGAGGACCAAATTGCCAAGTTCTGCTCTCAAAAACACCTGGGAGGGCCCAAAGCAGCCCTGAGCCCCTCCTTGCTGAGCTCCTGCTCCCTCCTGCCCCCAGCCTGCCCCAAAGCCAGGCATGGCAGGTGTGGGTGCTCCTGAAATGTGCTTTATGTGTTTTATATGGTTTATGTGTTTTATCTGTTTTATGTGTTTTACTGGCACCTGCTGCTCTGCAGAACGTTGCCAGATTTATTTCTCATCGACACATTCAGCATCCTGAACTCCTAAAAAACATTTTTCTTTTTAAGTGGGATTTTACTAGGAAAAAAAAAAGGAACTAACTTGGAGCTCTCCTTCCCACCAACCACCTGGATTCTTCTTTCTGATGAGAATCAACTGGCCAGGAGCAAGAGTCAGCTGTTCTGGGCCTGTTGCTGTGTAAGAGGCAATAACTTGGGCAATTTCTGTTGAAGCAGAGGAGGAAAGAAAAGGTTAATTTGAAAAAATCTGAGCACATTTTATCCAACATTAATTCTGCTATAAGACTCTGTTGTTATTCCTTCCCATAAAATTGTTATGGATTTATGTATTTTCATGAATACATGTGGTAATTGTAAAATACATGAGAGGTTCAGAGCACCACAGGAATAAATAAGTAATAAAGCAGAGGTGCAGCAGCTCTGTGGTAGGAGATCAAAGACATTTGAAATACAGAATAATAATGATAATGATAATAACAATAATAATAGGAAGTGTACAGCTCTTAAAACCCAGTGTTTTCAGTAAATAGACCTCTGCACTGAGCTCCCTGAGGAGAGCAGAACATCAATGACAAAATAATGAAGTTGCACCAAGAGGTGCACATTAAGGCTGGCACAGAATTTCTCAGCAGCTGGTCCCAAAGGAGTGTTTTCCAAAGCAGCAAAGAGGATTTCCCTGGAAATCTCTGCTCCCTCCCAGAACAGAGGCTTTGTGTGGTCCCCTCCAGCACGAGGGGACAAGAGCAGCTGGGAGCTGACAGTTCCAGGGAATTACCCCAAGCTGGGCTGGAGTTTCCTCTGGCCCACAGTGCTTGTGGAACAACTCTGGTCCCCACAGGGGTAACCCAGGGCTGCACCCAAGGAGCTGCAGGAATTGTGGTGTTCCCCCAAAGGCTCCATGTGCAGGGTGAGGGGAGCAGTTCAACACTCCCAAAGTGGGGCTGGTGCTGCTGGAGCTTCCTGAGGGAGCCAGGAGAGGCACTCAGCCCTCAGGGATTCATTCCAAGGGCAGCTGGGGCAGAGGAACCCAAAACCCTGGGAGGTTGGGAACTCAGGGAGGCTTTGGTGCAGGGAAGGTACAAAGAGAGTCGAAGCCAACATGGAAATGATCAAATGATTGATGTGAGATTTAGAAGGGAAGGAGCAGTAGGAACATTAAAAAGGATCAGAGAAGAACTGAGAGACAGATGAGCAGCGTGAGGAGGATGAGGAGCAGCCCAAGGGCACTGCAGGAGCTCAGCAGGAGGGCAGGGACAGGGAGCAGGCAGGTGATGGGAAGGCCTGGAGTGACAAAGATGCTTTAAACCTGGATCTGGGGTTAGCACACACAGTCAAGGAGTCATGGAATGGTTTGGGCTGGAAGGACATTAAATCCCACCCAGTGCCACCCTGCCATGGCAGGGACACCTTCCCCTGTGCCAGGCTGCTCCAGCCCCAGTGTCCAGCCTGGCCTTGGGCACTGCCAGGGATCCAGGGGCAGCCCCAGCTGCTCTGGGAATTCCATCCCAGCCCCTGCCCACCCTGCCAGGGAACAATTCCTCATTGCCCAGATCCCATCCAGCCCTGCCCTTCCAGCAGCAGAGCCATGCTCCCAGCCCATCTCCTCCCTGGCTTTGCCCTCACCCAGCATTGACTCTGCTCCTGGTTTTTCTCTGTTTAAACCTCCCACTCTCCTGCCAGCACCTGCTGCATTTAATGAGAAATTCCTCCTCCTGTCTTCTGCTGCCACAGCTGAGAAACCTGGAGAGGAGCTGGGGACAAGGGGGAATGGCTCCCACTGCTCTGCTGAGCAATCCAGCAGGAAGTTCTCATCCACTTCTGAGCAAGCAGATTTTCATTCTCTAGCTACATGTTATTTAGTGATTGACACACTAGAATGATTAGAGGATGAATTATTTTATTACATTTACATTATTTATTAACTGCATTTATTCCAGTTATTTTGTAATGGTTTTCATCAGTGCAAACCACTCCAAGATGACCAAGAGCAAACACTATTTTCATGGAAAAGGTTTTGTTGCCATTGAATTGGACACTTAAGAACAGAGAGAAGGTGGTGTCACAGTATTTGACTCACCAGGTTTCTTCCCTAAGCTTCCTGTTTTCCCAGCTGCTCCTGGAGCCTTGAAATGGAGAACAAGAGGCAAATTTAGCACTCAGGTTTCTTTCTCCAGTACATGAAAATGTTTAACAAAGCTTCACTCAACAAGCATGTGAGTCAAAACCAGGAAATTCTGTTCTTACAGAAATCCTTAATATTTTAGATGGCAATAAACATCTGGGAATAAATACCAAGCATGAAGTGATGGTTTGTTAAAGCACAAGTGCAGACTTTTATTCCCTTTCATGGGCTGCAAATCCCAAAGGAGATCCCATTTACAATCCCAAAGGAGATCCCATTTGTAATCCCAAAGGAGATCCCATTTGCAATCTCAAAGGAGATCCCATTTGTAATCCCAAAGGAGATCCCATTTGTAATCCCAAAGGAGATCCCATTTGCAATCCCAAAGGAGATCCCATTTACAATCCCAAAGGAGATCTCATTTGTAATCCCAAAGGAGATCCCATTTACAATCTCAAAGGAGATCCCTTTTGTAATTCCAAAGGAGATCCCATTTGTAATCCCAAAGGAGATCCCATTTACAATCCCAAAGGAGATCCCATTTGTAATCCCAAAGGAGATCCCATTTGTAATTCCAAAGGAGATCCCATTTGTAATCCCAAAGGAGATCCCATTTGTAATTCCAAAGGAGATCCCATTTACAATCCCAAAGGAGATCCCATTTGCAATCCCAAACAAGATCCCATCTGTAATTGCAGATCCATGTATCTACAGAATGGGAATTCTGTGGAGGTGAGCTGAAACAACAACAGAATTTTTCATCCCTGCACATTGCTGGATTGCAAATCTTCCTGAGCAACTCCGTGCACCCAGACAGGGTAGGTGAGGGATGAACATCAGCATCCAAGGGATTGGGAAGCAAAGCCTTTGAACAGCCACAAGAAATCCAGCAAAACCTGACATCAGTCCAGCTCCTGCCCTAACTAATTCCTGCAGTTTCCTCCCAGGCCACTGACAGTTTTATGTCCTGCAGTAAGGAGCTCTGAGGTGGATAACAGCAACTTAAATCTAAACTGGACTGTGGCCAGGAATGTTGAAGTCCTCTTGCCTTCAACACTTCCACCTCCCTCAACTTCACCTTCAGGATCCTCCTCACAAACTTGGAGCCAACATCAAACCACCTGAAGGCTTGCACAGAATCCTAATTCCTGTGTGGAAAAGAACAGTTTCCTCCTCCACATTCTCCCTGTCAACTGATATTTTGAAAACCTGGGGATTCTGGCAGGAATTAAACTGAGGAGTAAGTGAAGAACAGCTCGGTGCTGAGAGAAAAGGGCCCCTCAAACCCCTGTGTTGGCTGTGGTCACCTATAAAATGGATTTGAGGGTACATCTTCAGCTTGCCTTGACGTGTCACAGCTCCTTCCCTGTCACACATCATTGCAGTTACACCCCACAGGAGCAGCTGATCTTCCCTGCTCCCAGGAGAGCCCCCAGGGGATCAGGGCAAAGCCCAGAGCAGCTCTGGGGACAGGGGGAGATGGTCCTGACAGCCCCACAGAGGGGGATGAACCAGGGTGATGCCAGGAGCTCCTCCTGCTCTGGGAAGTGTTTCTGGCAGAGGAACCCTCTGCCCTCCTCAGCAGAGAACAAGTGCCTGGACCCTCAGAGAGCCCCTGCTCCCAACTCCTTGGTGAGCTGCTGGGTGAGAGGCACATGGACAGACCAAACAGGCTGGGACCTTGCCTTTGCTGGGAAACAGAGAGGTGGTGTTAAAATAGAAACCTCAGAAGCACCTTGACCACACAGAGGCTGAATTGTCTTTGAGGATTCTCTGAATCCTCAGTGCAAAAGCAGCAGGAACACATGGAAAAGTCCTACAGCACTTCAAGAAATAACTAAATTCATCAATGACACATTTAGGATGGTTCCCATTCCTGGCCCACTCAGGAGAGGGAGAGGCATTTCCCATTCCTGCTGCTGAGAGAAAACACAGCAGTGAGGACAGAGCCTGTTCTGCTCCCCTGCACAGCTGGGACACTCCCTCAGCACCTGAGGGCACTTTGTGACAAGGGATGAAGTCTCCTGAGCCAGCAGGGCACAACCTGCTCTGTCAATTTAATAATCCCCAGCAAGGACTTGCCAATTGTGCTGTACAGCAGGACCCTTCAAATCCCAACTTGACCCACTCAGGGATTATTTTCTGAAGCCCTGTGCAAAGTTTTATAGTCAGATGTCTTGAAATTGTTGTGGAATTCTCACCAGTGTCCAGAATAAAACCCTGTATCCATCCCTCCCCCTAAGGAACAGGCTCAGAATGGGCCATTGTTCCTCTGAAGAACAAAGACTTTCCCACTTTTTTAATAAACTGAAGCTTGAAGGAACAGAGAATGGTTTGTTTTAGCACCTTGAGGTGAATGGGCACAGAAGAACAAATTTAAAAATTCTTCTGCTGTAGAAACCATTGAGATTTTGAGTCATTTCTAGAAACTCTGCCCTTGCTGCTGAAAGATCACCCCTGCTTTTCTTTGGTTCTGTCAATAGTGCAGAACACATGAAATTATTCCTCTTTTCAGAACATTTTCCAGCCCAGGCAGCTGTCCAAGCACAGCAGCACATCTGAGTGTGAGAGAGTGAGATTTCAGAGAGCCAGGACTCTGAAATCCTCTGCAAAAACTGGCTCTGGGAGCAGGCTGGAGAGCAAAACCCAGTTCCCCACTTGGAGGCAGATCCAGGAGGCACAGGAACCCTGGCATGGAAACACCATCCCAGAGCAGGGGTTCCACCAGCTCTGTGCTTTTTCCTCCCTCTCTCATCCAGATTGGAGCTGAAGGTGGGATTTTCACCTTGGTGCAGGCTGAGGGGCCAGAAACCCCAGAGTGAGCTCTCTGACAGAAGGGGGTCAGAACTGAACAGCTGAGCTCTGCTCAGGGCTTTGCCAACAGTGCCCCAGCCCCACCTCTCCAAGGACTAAACATCACTAACCACAAGGGTTCTAGTGCTGGCCCAGAGGATGTTGTTGGGATTTCCTGACACTGCAGAAATTTCCCCTTGAAAGGTTTCCCGCAGCTGAGATTTCACTGCAGCTTTTATCCTCTGGCTTTTCCAGCAGCAGGAATGGATTTGAGGAGTGATTCTGCTCAGGCTCTGTGCTGCAGTCTCTCACTGAGTTCTTGTGCATTACCATCCAGATCCCCAGAATCCACTGATTTGTATTCATTTATCTTTAACCCCCCATTATTCCAGAGATATAAACCAGAATCCTTCTCATCAAGAGATCAGTCATGCACTTAACTCTGAATCTAAACTAATTCCTACTGGGAGATAAATTATCCTCTCAAACCATACAAATGAGAAAACATCTATCTCTGTTTAAAATGCCTAAAAAGAAAGCAAAAAAATCCCCCAAAAAACTAAACAAAAAAACCCCAAACAAAACAACAACAAAAAACAAAAAGAACCCAAAAACCCAAAAAAAAACCCCAACCAAGAAACTGTGTTCTATGGAATTATTTCAAGATAAAAAGAGATGAAACAGAACCTCTATTATTCAGTCAAAATCTGACAAATAAATACAGCAGTTAGCAAAGTTTTGGTGCAAAATTTGTTCCTGATTGCAAGAAATGATAGGGAAAAATGTAATAGACTGAAATATTACTGTGTAGATTTTTTTTTTTTTAATAATGGCAGTAAGATACAGCTCAGGCATTAAAAACTTACCAGGGCAATAAAACAATCATGGCTGCTCTGATCAGTGTTTAAAAATCTGCGAAGTGCACTGGTGATGTAGGCATTATTGTCATGGATGATCCCCCAAGTTATTTATAATATTAAGTTATAAAATGCAACTATAGCTGTTATTGCAATTGTTTTTCCTTTCCAGTCCCAGTCAATAAATCTGCAACACATTTTTATTTCCCCTACCACGCCCTGCCCTGCAGCTACCACTACAACCCCAAAGAAAACATTTCTCTACCTCAGAATCTTTGAGTCTCACATAATTAGATGGGAAAACTCCTGATTTATCACCCAGCGTTCCCGTCCACCAGTCACCATCTTTCTTTGTCACCAGGATCAGGTCACCTTGTTGGAAAGTGAGGTCTCCCTGCTCCGAGCTCTCGTAGGTGTACATGGCAATGTACTCTGAAAAGGGAACACAGCACATGGAAAACTCCTGAGAACCCCCCAGGGATCCCCTGCCAAACCTCAGCCACAGCAGGGCCAGGCAGAAGGCAAATTTTTATTTATTCTTCATAGAAACATCAATATTTAACGAATAAAATTGGATCTATTAGAACTGAATAGGATCTATCAAGAGGTTGCCTCAAAAATAATTTGCCATTTTAATTTTATGAATGCATATGTACATATATAGATTTTATGTATTTTATGTACATTTTAATAATTTAAATGTACATAAATCATTCATTTAGATATTAAACATGTTTCCCAGTGGTTTCTGGTTTGTGCTGATGAGTGGGATTTTCAGAATTTGGGATGCAAAGTGCACACACCTTAAAAATCACCTTCTGCACATGAGCTTTTCTGCAGCCCTCTGAACAGAAGATGTTACATCCCTGCTTTATTGCCTCTCAGAACCACAGCTTTTTTGAAGTATTTCAACAAAGGTTGTGTTCCTTTTTAATAAAAACACAGCACCTGAGATATCCCACCTGGGACAGGAAAGGTGATCCTTAATAAAGTCCCTTCCAACCCAAACCAGTAATTATTCTATGGAATAATTACTGAGCAGAGCAGCTGTACTTGAAATAACAGATTATCTCCCTTTTCTCTGCTGCTCCCTCCTTTTAGTTTCTGTGGTGCTCAGGCCAGACACAAATGAAATGTGCATGTCCCTAAAACTGTACCTGGGATTGCAGTTCCACACACAAATGTTCACCTGTAACCTACATTTAGATTAATTGATCTCCTCTGCTTGTGATTTAATTAACCCACAGCTGCCTCTGCACTGCAGGGTCATGATGAAGAGTTAAGGCAGCTCAGGAGGGGACATTTCCCTCCAGCTGAAGGGTGACACCATGGACACATGGACAGATTTGCTTATTTGACCCTCTATGAAAACCCATTCTAGATCAGAAAATGTTACCAAAATAATGACAAAAAAATAGAAATATTGGAAAAAATATAAACTACAAAATATATTGGACATTTCCCTCCAGCTGAAGGGTGACAACAGCCAGCAAATCCCCTTTTAAAACCCTTCAGAAAAATATCTGTGACCTCTGAGTCTGTGCCCCAGGCTCCACCTTTGAAATGGAGCTGACCAGAAGGGTCCCAGAATTCCCTGAGTGACTGTCACTGCCTTCACTGAGAGCTCCAAGGAAACACTGGGAATGAGCTCTGGGGGAAATGAAAATATTTACCAATTCCTGACACCATGGACACATGGACAGATTTGCTTATTTGACCCTCTATGAAAACCCATTCTAGATCAGAAAATGTTACCAAAATAATGACAAAAAAATAGAAATATTGGAAAAAATATAAACTACAAAATATATTTTCATATCTTTAGCAGCTTGTGCTTTTTCCAATATTTCTACTGGATACTTTCATATCTTTAGCAGCTTGTACTTTTCCCAATATTTCTATTGGATATTTTCACATCTTTTGTAGTTGGTACTTTTTTCAATCTTTCTATTGGATATTTCCATATCTTTGGTGATATGTGAAATTATTCCTTCTCTATACACAACATATATAAACTGTTACTCTAATGATAATAATTCTAAATTATTCCAGAGGCAAACTGATTAGCCCTTGGATTTTAGCACCATTTAAAGAGCACAATCTCCTGGCTGTGGCAAAAAGCAGAGTAAGAGGACTCACCTTCCCCTGACACTGCTGCCTTGGCTGCTGGGGATGCTACTCTTTTCAGACTAGCAGGACTTTCTGAGGAACCAGAATCCATGCTTTAGAAGAAAATAATGGTTATTTAAGAAATTCAATCTCTTCAGAAAAATTATTATTATTATTCTATTTCAAATCTAAAATCCACGTGCACCCCCAAGCAACTCCCTGGGCTTTAAAAGAAGAGACAGTAAAGGTGCAAAATAAAGCTTTGAATCCAGTGGTCTGCCATGGTCACATTTAAACAACTGCCTTAAATACAGAATTTTCTGCATCTCCTCTTTTTCCTCAGGAAAAAAAATGATCTAAAATCATTCTAATTTGCATTCCTAATGCTAATGTTGCCTTCACATTACAAAAAATGAGATTTTAAATGTTTAATCCTCCAAGAATAATGAGAAGTGATTTAGATTTGAGGAATACCTTTTAATTTTGGGCAGAGAGGAGCTGTGACTTACACAGCTGTACTTCAGAAAGTCCAATACACTCATTTTTTCAGTTGCAAGTCACATAAAATTAAGAAGGTTAATTAATCCTTTGTTGGTGAGGCAAGACCAGTGGATAACTGAGGTCAGTTTTCTTATTCTTATTTTCTTATTATTCTTGTTTTCTTATTCTTATGGAGGTCAGCTTTCTTATTTCTTAAATTCTTATTTTCTTATTATTAAAATTATTTCTTAATTTGCTTAGCTTATTATTATTTCTTAATTTCTCAATTAAGAAATTGAAAATTTCTTAAATTTTCAGGATTGGAAGTCAAAACCCTCCAGATAAAAACAAGAACCCTTTTACAGGGTAGACCTCTAAAATTCAAGCGTGCAGCTCTTCCAATTTCCTTCTAGCCCAGCACAGAAGTGAAGGACAGGAAAAGCAAACAAAATACCTCGTGGACTTCCTAATGGGGCCTGAGATGAGCTTGACATAGGATTTGGGGAACCAGCCCTTCTGGCCCTGCACCTCCCCAAACCACCACATGTCCTGCTGCTCCAGCACGGTGATCACGTCGTTCTTGTTGAAGTTCAGGTGGTTGTCTTTCTTTGCTCTCCAGGGATACAGAGCCTGTGCCTGAAGCCCCTCCACTTTTTCACCCTTCAGAAAGAAAAACAGGAGTCAGTCGTGCTCCACCTTCAGCAAGAAAGCTGCTTAAGGAATTCTATCCTCAGGCTGCTTAGACAGCAACAAATCTCTCAACTAAAGCTTCAGTTAAACTTGCAAAGGAATTCCAGAAATAGTTACAGTCCTCCAGCATTTCTGTCTGTTGACACATCATCAATGCAATGCAAGATTAAACTAATTACTCTTATTTAAGACACGTGTAATAAACCCTTGTGAAGCTGCTTTGGCAGGACTTCTAGGCCATTTTATGGGAAATAATGCTTTGCTGCACATTATTCATGGCACACACAATTTCTTTTTTGCTCTGAGTTAGATATTCAGCACTTCCCAGAACACATGAGCACCCAAGAACAGTTTGTTGTTCCACTGAGGAGAAGGAAGTGCCTGAAGAGAGGGACAGAATACAGCTGGGAAGCTTTGCCATTGCAATTCCACTCAACCCACTTGGGAGTGCAGGTTGTCATGGGAGTGAAGAAAGCCCCAAGGAAGTGACCCAACCCTGCACCACCAAAATCTAAAAAAGTCATCCCAGACCAGCAAACCAGCAACTGCTTGGTGTTAAATCCTGCCCCAGATGTTGCTATCCATAGAATGGCCTGGGTTGGAAGGAGCTGAAAGCCCACCCAGTGCCACCCTGCCAGGGCAGGGACACCTTCCCCACCTGGAGGTGCTCACTATGTCTTGTCAGGTGAGTGTTTTAGCGCACAGGCAAGGCTCCCACTTTGCTCTCTAAGCCTTGTGGTGGCTCAGAGCAGGTGGGTGAGGCCAGGAGCTCACCTGGCCCAGCACAGGGGACGGGGAAGAGCCGGTGACAGTGGCAGGGGTGAAGGCCGAGCGCTGCCGGAGCTGCCCCGCGCTGGGCACGGTCAGCGAGGGCTGAGCTGCCCAGGCATCCCAGTTATCACTCTCTGCCTTCTCACTGGTGTTTGCTGGCCAGCTGGAAAGAAAAAGAAAAGAACAATATGATTCCTACTGTTTTTAAGAGTAGGAACAAAAAAAAAAAACTCAGGCAGAACAAGTATCTCAACTTTCTACATGAATTTCTTTTCTGTGAGTACCCAGCACCTTAACTCCAGGTGCAGCAGTGAAACTCAAGTGGTGAACCACAACTTCACCTTCAAAGGCAACCCCCACACTGAGCTCCTTGTCACTAAAGGACAGGTTTTTATCTCAATCCTTAGCTGTGTCCCTACAAACAGAAGTTCAAGCAATGCAGGCTGCATTATGCACAGTGGAAAGAGAAATAAAAATATTAATCATTCTTTCCAAAACTGGTTTGAAATCTTCCCCCCTGCATGTCACTGACCTCTCACATCCCTATCCTTTAAACAGGATCATGGAATGGTTTGGACCTCAAATCCCACCCAGTGCCACCCCTGCCATGGCAGGGACACCTTCCCCTGTGCCAGACTGCTCCAGCCCCAGTGTCCAGCCTGGCCCTGGGCACTGCCAGGGATCCAGGGGCAGCCCCAGCTGTGTCAGGAGTGCCAGGGCCTCCCATTGAGATATCAGTTTAAAAATATGGATTTCATGGGCAAAGGAGAAGGAATTGCAGTTGATAAAAGTGCCCAGTATTGAGTTAAGACACCCAGGGATGGGCACATGTTCCAATTCCATCAGTTTTACTAATGCTGTGACCAGCAATTAAATCACCTCTTCGTGTCACCTCTGCCATTTTCATATTGTACATAACAATAAGCAGGATGGAAGCCTTCCATAAGTCTTGGTGGAAACTGAGGTAGGAGAAAGGGATTTAGGAGGTGGCAGTACCTGAAGGGGCTCCAGGAGAGCTGGAGAGGGATTGTTCATTAGGAAGAGGAGTGGCAGGGCAAGGAGGAATGAGTTCCCACTGAAAGAGGGGAAATTTCAGTGGGAGATTAGGATGGAATTGTTCCCTGGCAGGGTGGGCAGGCCCTGGCACAGCTGGGGCTGCCCCTGGATCCCTGGCAGTGCCCAAGGCCAGGCTGGACACTGGGGCTGGAGCAGCCTGGCACAGGGGAAGGTGTCCCTGCCATGGCAGGGGTGGCACTGGGTGGGCTGTGAGGTCCCTTCAGCCCAAACCATGTGGGATTCTGTGATTCCAAAGGAAGTGAACCCCTTGGGATTTCCCCCATGCCCACATCCTCACATGGGGATGTCTCCTGCACGTGCTGTGCCCAGGCAGGGGTGATGGGAGCAGCCCCAAGTCCCACAGGGCTGCAGCTTGAACTGGTTCCTACAGAAAGCATCCTTCACATCCCAGAATGTGTTTTCAGTTTGCACTCTGGCTCTGTGCTCAGGGCCAGTTCCAAAGGAGCCCAGGCACTGAGGGGCTGAGCAGCACCCAAACCTACGTGGAGCTGAAGTCTGCCCAGTTGTTGGCTGCTGCAGGAGCCTCTGCAGGGGCAGGGGCTCCCAGGGGAGTGGAGCTTTCCTGCACAGACACTTTGGGAGCAGCAGAGGGTTCAGCCACGGGCTTGGCAGAGGCTGGAACTTCACTGTCTGGAATCTTCTCTGCATAGTTTGCAGGGAACCATCCAGTCTTCCCCTTCAGTTCTCCACCAAGCCACCCTGGCTCTCCAGTCTGGCTTTCATCCACCTGCAGACACAGGAAGTTAGAGAGTTAACAAACACATCCTGCAAATGGGAATTTTACTGAAAACAACCCAGATCTCCACAGTAATGAACTTTCTGCAGTGCAAGAGGGCTTGACAATTGTTTTTTCCATACTGAAACCACTGAACCATGGAATGGTTTGGGTCAGTAGGGACCCTAAATCTGTCCTGCTCCACCCCTGCCATGGCAGGGACACCTTCCCGATGGATCTCCAATGCTCCTCAGAGGAGCTGCTGCCAAATTCCTTTGCCTCGGGCCATTTGCTGACTCTATGCCTCCCAGTGGAATTTGCATCCACCCTCCCCTCCCGGTGCAAAGCCATCCCTCATTCCTGCGGGTTTTGGGTCCCCTCCTGTCTCTCAGTCCCCAGCAGACCAAGACAATCCCAGCAATGAAAGCACTTTGTGCTTGAGCGATTCCATGTGCTTCTCCTGCAGTGCAGAGCAAAATTTGCACTGCAGCAGAGATGGGAAAGCAGCAGGATGGGAGAGGGAAGGGCACAGCTGAGGGAGGGTCTGGGGAAAAGGGATAAAGCACTGAGGGGCTGGATAACCCACCCAGGGATCTGTGACCCCAGGCAGGGCTGGATAACCCACCCAGGGATCAGTGACCCCAGCTGGGGCTGGATAACCCACCCAGGGATCAGTGACCCCAGCTCGGGCTGGATAACCCACCCAGGGATCAGTGACCCCAGCTGGGGCTGGATAACCCACCCAGGGATCAGTGACCCCAGCTGGGGCTGGATAACCCACCCAGGGATCAGTGACCCCAGGCAGGGTTGGATAACCCACCCAGGGATCAGTGACCCCAGCTGGGGCTGGATAACCCACCCAGGGATCAGTGACCCCAGGCAGGGCTGGATAACCCACCCAGGGATCAGTGACCCCAGCTGGGGCTGGATAACCCACCCAGGGATCAGTGACCCCAGCTGGGGCTGGATAACCCACCCAGGGAGGGATCAGCCACCCCAGGCAGGGCAGGAACTGCAATCACCACACAGAGGGAACAAACAGCACTGCAAAGGTAAATCTGGGTTGTGGAGATGCTCTAAAAAGAGCATCTTTGAGGTCTGAATCCCAGAAACCATGGGGATTCTTCAGGCATAAGGAAAAAAACAACCAAAAGGTTTCAGACCCATGCAATTCATGGCTCTTCAGGAGAGGATTTGAGTGTAATAATTCTAAAACTGCCTGTGAGGACACAGATGTCTGTTTATTCAACCCAATGAAGTTCTCTATGCACTCTCATGAAAAGGCATTTTGAAGGATAATTAAACTTCAAAATTCCTATCAGCTCTGGTTTCTTCTTCATCTAAAACACAAGTCACATCTGGTTTTGCAGTACTGTACTGAAATTTTAAACAAATTCCTTTAAATGTTTTTTAAGCTATTTTGTTTCAATTTCATTTAATTTTACACCTACCACCCACAAGTCCCACAACAATCCCAGATTTTTTTTTCCAAAATACAACCAGACTTTAAATGTACACCTGAATAGTGAATTACAGTGTGTGGGAGGTTGTTTTTATTTATTCAGCTGTACTTTAGAACCACAGCTGACAACTCCTTAATTCTGTGGATCACAAAGAAGATTGAATCCAACTCCAACAATCAATAACTAAGAAAACTGATGAGAAACTGCCATTAGAATTCATTGTAGGTTTTTCAGGGAAGAATATCTGTTCCCACACAAAAGCTTGGTTGAGTTACAGCCAGGATTAAAATCAATCTCAACTTAGAGTGGAAGAAATTTAAAGTACATTGAAAGGATAGGAGAATTAAAAAGTGGGAGAATCAAAATGCCAGAGTAATTGTGGAATGCAAGGCAGCAGATCCAGGGGTGCCACAGGCTTTTCCCAGCAGCAGGGCAGAGCAGAGCCCTCCCCAGACTGCCAAAGCCTTTTCCTTCCTGGGTAAATCCTCCTCCTCCTCCCTGCTCCTCCCTGGGCTTTACACTCTTGGAAAGATCATTCCCAGGCTCTGGTGAAGGCCCAGCTCCTGGGACAGAATGAGCTCTGCAGCCCCATTCCAGGCAGGATCCCAGCCAGGATCAGATCCCAGCACAAGAACTCCAACCAGGATCCCAGCCCAGGATTCCAACTCAGGAATCCCAGCCCAGGAATTCCAACTCAGGAATCCCAGCCTGGGAATTCCAGCCCAGGAATCCAAACCCAGGAATTCCAGCCCAGGATCCCAACCCAGGAATTCCAACACAGGAATTCCAGCCCAGGAATTCCAACCCAGGATTCCAACTCCAGGATTCCAACCCAGGAATCCCAACCCAGGAATCCAAACCCAGGAATCCCAGCCCAGGATTTCCAACCCAGGGATCCAAACCCAGAGATCTTAGCCTAGGAATTCCAACCCATGACCCCAATCCAGGAATTCCAGCCCAGGATTCCAACCCAGGACCCCAGCCCAGGAATTCCAACCCAAGATCTCAGCCCAGGAATGCCAGCCCTGGGCTCTGGTGGCACCTCCTGCCCGCTGCCTGCCAGGACCACTGCTCCAAAACGGGTCAGGATTTGAGCTGCAGGGTGGGAGAGCTCCACTTGTGTTGAGTTATCCAAGGAGCAGGGATTTGGTGGCACAGGAAGCTCCCAGCTGGAGCTCAGCTGCACTGATGCCACCAGGCAGCCTCACCTCAACCCTGAGCTTGCAAATTGCTGTTCTCCAAGGCAAGGCACCACGGGCACCTTTGGAAGCACAGGACAAACACAGGAGGAGCCAACGGCAGCATCAAAAGCAAACCCTGCTCCAGGGTGTCTGAAGTGCTTTTGATAACGAGCTGGGCTGTGTTAATTTGACCCCTGGTGGGCTCAAACCCAAGGAAGTGCAGGGGAAGCAGCTCTGCTGGGGTCAGTGGAGCCCTTACCCACTCCCTTCTCACCTCCAGGGAAGCAGGGATGCAAAGCAAGGCACGGTTACAGCACAGCTCAGCACTGCCCACAGCAGCTGCCTTTTAACCCTTCCTGCAGGGCAGCAGAGCCCCCAGGAACCTGCTGGGATTCTGGCCAAAATCACTTCAACAAAGGCAACAGAGAGGAGTTACCCTGCTGGGAATGAGGGGGTTAACACCGAGTCCAAAAGCAACAGGTAGCAGGACTGAGATGGTCTCAAAGTCTCTAAAATATGTGTGGTGCTCCTTAGGATCACATATTTTGGGGGAAGATTTTATTTCCCTGCATATCTCTCTTTTAAAATTATTTCAGTGCTCTTTAGAATTGTGTATTTTGGGAAAAATGTTATTTCCCTGCAAATCTCTTTTCAAAAATGATTCCAGCCCTGCTTAGAATCACACATTTGAGGGAAAATGTGAACAGGGATAAATATGTGCAGAACTGCCTAGAACCACATCTTTGGAGGAAAAATGTTATTTTCTCTGCAAATATCTGTTTTAAAATGTGCAAAATTATTCTTAAAATCACAACTTTTGGGATAATTGTTATTTTCCCAGCAAGTCTGCCTAACACTGATCACACTTGCCCACAGAATGACCTGTAAATCCAGGCCACCCATTATTTCCCATGAAAACAAGGCATCCCAGCATTTCCCAGAGCCTCCCACACCAATTCCTGCAGCTTTCCAACCTGCTGTATCCTCACTCAGTCCTCAGCAGTGACACCGAGCCAGGATTCACTTTGGATTTTCCAGAAGCCAAGGCCTCAAACACCCACTAAGTAAAAAGCCAAACCAACCCCAAAAGGTTCAATTTCCCAAACAATTTTTTAAAAAAATAATGATAATTAATATTTGGAGGACTCTACAAAGTGTATTTTTCCAAAATCCACTGTTACTAAATTGAGCTAAATGCAAAAGCTCCTAAAATCAATTTTGTTGGGTAGAACACTGTTGGGAATACACTTCCCCCAGTGAACAATATTTAAGAATTCCTCCAGGAATTTTCATTCTGCATGTTAAGAACATACTAATGATTAATTAGTATTAATAGCCACTTAATCCCTGCAGCCATTAACCAGGGAATTAAAACTTAGAGAGACAAAAGCAAGCCTTGTTTCAGAGTTTGACACAACCCACTGATCACAACCCTGAAAAACTGGAAATTATTCTCTACCAACACACCTGCAAGCAGATTTTTGGGATTTGAAGTTTCCTTTCTTGCCATATAAAATGTAAGGCAGCCATGGCAGAAGCTGAAGGCTTTTCCCAAGGAATATCCCAAGCCCTGCTTACCATGACGATGTCTCCAGGCTGGATGGTGATCTCGTCGTGGCTTCTGGATTCAAAAGGATACAGAGCTCTATAATACACTATTTTTACATCCTCCTGAGCAGAAATGGTTAGAGGAGCTTTCTCTGAGCAAAGGAAACACACAGATACAGAGAGAAGAAATCAAACCACCTGGTTTTTAAATTCATGGAAAACGGGGTGGAAATGGAGACAAGAGTCACCAAACCTGCAGAGTCTGCAGAACACCCCTATCCCCTTTTTACACAAGGGAAATAGAAAAATTGATTATTTAAATACAATTTGCTTATTATTTTCTCCTCTAAACAGCAGGGAAAATCTTAGATACACAGAATGGGCTGCCTGGGCTGGGAGGGAAAAGCCCATCCAGTGCCACCCCTGCCATGGCAGGGACACCTTCCCCTGTGCCAGGCTGCTCCAGCCCCAGTGTCCAGCCTGGCCTTGGGCACTGCCAGGAACTGGAAGTCCACAGCTCCTCTGGGCAGAATTTGGTTATAAAAGTGATGCAATCCTTTGGACAAATATTTAAACCATTTTTACATTCCAAACAGTTCTTGTGTGTATCCAAGACACTTAAGAGGGAAGCAGAATTCTCACTACAGGCAAAAATCAGGATACAATGCACAGAAAAAGCTCTCAGCTGAAAGTGAATGTGTGGAGAGCAGAAAAGGGGCATTAAATCTTAGATTTCAGGTCATTGCTCCAGCAAACAAAGGAAGGCAGGAAAGGAAAAGGGTGACTAAACAACATATTGTTCCCACTCTGAAAAATCCCAAGGCATGTATCCCACACCAAAATAAAAACTACAGAAATAGTTTTGCCATCGTGCATCCATCCCCTTGCAGCTGAGATCCCCTTCCCTTGCCCTGCAGTCTCAGAGCTGTGCTTTCCCCTCTGCTGAACACCAGCCCTTGGGGAAGAACAGTGATGCCTGACAGAACCATTTTTGGAGCCTGCAGCTCAATGCATGCATTATTTACTTTAACAAGACTCCCAATCCAGCCCTGACCACCACCTTGCTCTGTGTTAAATGGGAAAAGAGAAGAGAACTGAGCTGTCCCAGAGCACTCCCTGCTGCTGGACCCTACCTGCGTTGGACCACGGAGCCTGGCCGGGCTTGCCGGGCTCCTGGTGGGGCTGGAAGAGTTTACTCAGCTTCTCCTGCATCTCCTGTTTCCCCTTATCCTCACTTTCCTTCTTCTTGGGTAGTTCTTCCCTTTTTTGCTTGTCATCTTCCTGGATTTTTTTTTGCCACTGTGGTTCCTCCTCTGGCTGTCCCCGCTCCAGCCGCGGTTTGTCCCGGTCCTGGATCCGCCTGGGGGACAGTGGGGACAACAGAGCCACTCAAACCAAAGCCACCAAAGCTTTTGGGTCATCTCCAGTACCAAGAGTCCTCTGTAGGATTTTTCTATGCCCTAACATCATTTTGGTGAGTTATTAACTCCCCAGCATCTCCTTACACTGGGAATGACTCCCAGAAATCACAAACTCAGGGAATGGTTTGGGTTGGACAATTAATTAATGGAATCCCCAAATCCCTGGTGCTGGCACAGCCCTCCCAGCCCAGGCAGTGCCAGCTGTGCCCCATGGCCACCTTGTCCCCAGCCCAGAGCACTCAGTGCCACCCCCAGGGGACACCTGCAGGGATGGGCACTGCAAAGCTCCCTGGGCAGCTCCTGCCAAGGCCTGAGCACCCTTTCCATGGGCAAATTCCTGCTGCTGTCCAACCAATGCACTTCCCAAGCCTTAGAGGGTGGCACTAGAGGACACAAACCTCATCTGCACCCCTGGAAGTTGTGGGCAGACAGGAATGTTGTCCAGGAGATACCAGGGGAGGTGTTACATTTAGGGCTCCACTAAAGCAGTTTGTTACCTCTGAGCTTCTTTCTGCTTTTCCAGCTCCACTGTCTTCCTTTCCTGTTCCTTCTGTTTCAACCTCTCAGCTTCCAAGCTCTTCTGCTTCTGGAGCTGCTGTTTGTTATGGATTTCTCTCAGCTCCTGGATTAAAAAAAGGCAAACAGGTGTAAAAATCCACTCTGTGAATCACAACTGATGGCCCCAAAGAGTTCCCTGTGAGGGGACAACACCTGGCAGTGGCTGGGGATCTCTCAAAGTCACAGTCCTGCCAAATGCAGATATTTCAGGTTCATTCCCAGGGTCTATAAACCACCTACTGTTTTCCTATTTTTATCCATTAAAGGGTTAGGAAACCAGAAAACTTTTAAATGGGACTCTGAAAAATGGACAAAGCTTAATCTGAACAGTCACTTCTGCTTTGTTTGTTGGTTTATGGAATCCATTTATTGAATTCCAGAACCAAATCTGCCCTCTCAGCTCTCATAACAGCAACTCTTAATCAGTTTCATTTGCCAATTAATGCTGATTTATACACAGGAGACTGAAATCCTTAAGGAATGTCTTTGGGATGAATCATGGTACAGAGACTATTCATTCATATATAAGTCAGTTTTTCTTCAATTGCCTGAAAAAATTAGAATATAAATAGTAATAATACCACCATAATATTTTCCTCAAGATTTGTTCTCTTCATTAATACCTATTAACACAAATCCAACCTTTTTCTGGAATTTCTTTGCATGACCTGGAATTTTGCATCTAAACTCCTCAGCATTACAGTAGAAAAAGGGAAGATTTACCTATGACCACTGAAGATTTTCACTGAAAATAGTTCACTTCAAAAATTGGTATCTTATCATGAAAATATGGTACAGGTGAGACTGAAACAGTTAATCCTGGAAGTATTTGGATGGTTTTTCAGAAATTCACAATCTACAATCCACAGGAAGTTTTCATTCCTCATGCACTGACCCAAATGAGAAAATTGCATCAGAAACAAAAAAAGAAATGGAAGTGATTCAGACCCACTGGATACAGGGGTGAAAGCTTCAAAAGGGAAGCTGATCCTTGTGGCCCAGGTCTCAGTTTTATTTCATTAATGCTCCTCAATTTTAAATTCAATAAAAACTGAGCTCAGCATCATTAAAGAGACAATCAGTTCCCAGAGAAGCTGGAATTAAAGAGACATTTTAAGAATCATTTAAGTTTTCCACAGACATTTTATGACACTATTCCTTCCCAGCCAAGCTGATGTGCTGGCTCAGTGTTCTGTGGCAGGATTTTTCTGTGACAGGATTGTGTGTTAAGAAAACCAAACCCAGTTTACAGTGCTGGCACTGGATGGAGCATTTTTGGAGATGAAAAAATCCCATACACATCCCTTTTGGGTCAGCCAGGAGGAAACAAAGATGTGCTGGGCACCTCAACAACACTGCTTTGCCAAGTGGGAGGATGGGGAGGAAGAGCCAGCATCTCCCTCAGCTCTGCTGGAAACCAGCTGAAGAAAATTCTGCTAACACCTCTACTAACATTCTATGAATTTCTACTAAAATTCTACTAACAGCCAGGACAATTCCAGCTGGATGCTCAGCACACTCTACACTCATCCTGCACAGACACAGCTCCCAGCTGGACATTCCCCCCAAGGCTTTGCTCATTCCTGGACAAGGAATGCCTTACCTAAAAAGGAGAGCAATTGTCACCCTGGCATTTAAATCCAAACAGAACAACGAGGAGGATCTGAGGTGTTACAACAGCCACATTCATATTATTGAATAGGAATGACAGCATTTCAGTATTCACTGTATACAGCCAAGTCATTTGCTACAAAAACCTTCAGGGTGGAAGTGGAGTTTTTTTGGCCCAGATTGTGCCTTTTTGACAGCAAGACAACAGGATTTGTTTGGATTACAATCCAAGGTTTCCATCAGATCTTCTCCCCCTGAGACAAGCAGAGCATTTGATGCCAGAGGAAAGGACCCCACAGTTCTGTGCTCCCTGAAGCTTTTCCAGAGCAACCCCTTCCTGCCCCATTCCCCAGCTCCCAAAGCCTCTGCTTTGCCCTTGGCAGACAATTCCTCCCTTCACCCCATCCTGGGGGTTTTTGGGCAAAGGAAGGGAGCTGCCACCCCTCTCCTACCAGGAATCACAGATGACAGTGATGTGTAGGGATACTTCCCATCCAAGTGTTTGGTTTTTAAAAATTCTGAAAATCATGACCAAAACTGGCAATTTACTTAAACTCTTGAAATTCCAGATAAGCAAAAGACAAAAATAACTAAATAACTCACTAGAACTGTGCCCAAGTTGCAATTCAAGGCACACTCCTCACGCAGGCATAAGGATTAGATAAAAATCTAATGCTAAACTCTTCTCTCTGGTTTTGGTTTGGTGCTGGCACCCCTTAGCAAACACTGACTCAGTGAAACACTGCACACTCATCTGCTTAGGGAAAGTGAAGCACATAACTGGAGGAGGCTCCTCACTCAGAGAGAGCTGGGTCCTGCCTGAGCAGGCCACGGAGACCTTTGGGAAGGAGTGTAAGTGCTGGATGCAGCCCAGGAGGAGAGCCAGGCACTGCAGCATTGCCTCTTCCACTGCCACTGACTGGAAGAAAGAAATGCTGAGATGTAAAGAGGGTTGGGAGCAGGAGTGCCCTGCTGACACTGACACACAGGCACTGACAGCCACGGGACACACGGACAGCACCGGGACAGCTCAGCCCACCGGGGGCCACTGCTTTTGCCAGGCACTGGCAAAGAATTCTCAGCACAACCACTTCACAAACATCAACTCAGTCCTTGTGTGCTTTTGGGCAGGAACAGCAGCAGCAAGACATTCTGGATTCCTCCATGTTATAGGAAATGGGCATTAGGTCCTTGGAGCTTGGAGGGTCAGTTCAGATCCAGGGACACTGAGGGGGAATTCTTTATCCTGAGGGTGGGCAGGCCCTGGCACAGGTGCCCAGAGCAGCTGGGGCTGCCCCTGGATCCCTGGCAGTGCCCAAGGCCAGGTTGGAGCAGCCTGGCACAGGGGAAGGTGTCCCTGCCATGGCAGGGGTGGGATGGGATGGATTTAAGGTCCTTCCAACCCAGCCCATTCCATGATCCTAAAAGAAACAAGTGACCAGCTCCATTTCATTGATACCTGCATCAGTATCAATCATTAGATCTCTAGGCTGAGATTTTTAAAGAGCACAGAAGTTTTACTCCTTTAACTCTAAGACACAAAGAAGTGGCCAAACTTTCAACGTCGTAACAAACTCAGTCACTTTTCAGCCAAATTCAGCCCAATGTTTGTGTTTATCTTGTGTCATAAACTGCCCCAAATTCATTTGAAAGGATACCTGAGCAACCAAACAAGCACCAGCAATCTCCTGAAACCAACTGCTTCTACCTCAAGATATCCAATACTATAATTCTAATGACTTGATTTGAAATATTAATAACATTTTGCAAGCCTGAAAGCTGTTGGTGGAAATGCACTAAATTCTATGAGTATTTCAAACTCCAAAGGACTCATCAGAAGGAATTGAAATCAGTTGTTTTGGAGAGATGGCAAAAATATTCAGCAGAAAAAGTATTTATCTCCCTAACCACTCCTATCATATTAAGACACACAGCAAAGATGATGTAATTTAACACTTGCATGAAGTATTCACTTATTACAGAACATAAAAACATGGAGACAAATCCAGAGTATCCTGTAAACTGCTGTGGTTTGGAAAAGTTGCCTGGTAAATGAAATTACCCTGATTAAATCCAGAGTTTGTAATTTATTTGTTTGATAAAAATGCATTTTTAAAAGGAAGATTTCCATCTTTCCCATCTTGACCTATTATCCCTTAATTTACAAGAAACCTTTATCAGATTTAGAGTTCAGACGTGATGGAATTGTTGAGATACAATTTGAAAAATTTCCCATTTCATTGTGAGCATTATCCAGCTGCCTGGATAATGGATAATCACACAGATGGCAGCACAGGACACACCCAGGAACTGAGAACTCAACAAGTTCTTCTGCTGTTTAGGGAAATTATTAATTTAGCATTATTTACAAGCCAATTTCTACCTATTGTCAATATCAGTCACTTTTCCAGTGGTGGCTCCTAAAAGTTGTCACAGATTTTTGATTTTTTAGGTAATTGTATGTGAGAATTATGGGAGTTGATAATGACCTGGCTTGGAGTGATGTAATCACTGATATGAGATATCATGTGATATATATGATGTATAATTATGGGAGTTGATAATGACCTGGCTTGGAGTGATGTAATCAGCTAAGTGTGTCCTCTGTGGGTGGACAACTCCCACTTCACACAAATCCCAGTAAATCCAGGACTCCAGGAAAGCCTTCACTGGCCTTGGGCACAAAATTCCAGGCTGCTGGCACTGCCCAGGCTGCCCAGGGAATGGGCACGGCCCCGAGGCTGCCAGAGCTCCAGGAGCCTTTGGCCAGTGCTGCCAGGGAAGCCCAGAGTGGGATCTGGGGTGTCTGGGGTGGCACTGGGGGATCCCTGGGCGTCCCTTCAGCTCAGGACATTCCATAGCTCCATGAAGAACAACAGCCATGGAATCACTGCTGCACTCAGCAGCTCTGAGTGGTTTCTTTACCTCTTCCATGCTGAGCCCACAACAATTCATGTGCCTTTTTATGGTTTCAAATTCAGTTATAAAATCCTCCAGGCCCCCCAGAATATGCCTTGCTCATCTTGAGAAACTACAAAAGGGAGAAGTCTCTGAATTCAGCTCCCACTGCTCAGTTCCATAGTACAGCTGGGGCTGGAGCGTGTCCAGGGCAGGGAACGGAGCTGGGAAGGGGCTGAGCCTGGAGCAAAGGAGGCTCAGGGGCCCTTGTGGCTCTGCACAAGTCCCTGCCAGGAGGGGACAGCCGGGGGGGTCGGGCTCTGCTCCAGGGAACAGGGACAGGAGCAGAGGGAACGGCCTCAGGCTGGGCCAGGGCAGGCTCAGCTGGGACAGCAGCAGGAATTTGCCCATGGAAAGGGTGCTCAGGCCTTGGCAGGGGCTGCCCAGGGAGCTTTGCAGTGCCCATCCCTGCAGGTGTCCCCTGGGGGTGTCTGGATGTGGCCCCTGGGGACGGGGTCTGGGGTGATGCTGGGGTGGCACTGGGTGATGCTGAAGGTCCCTTCCCACCCTGACAATTCTGGGATTCTGTCACTGCCCCTCCTCAGCTCAGCAAGGCAGAAATCCCCACAGAGAGCTCCTCCTGATCTGCTCCTCCTGGCAGTGAGTCCCACAATCTCCTCAGGCCAGAGACTTTCTGCTCTTCCCAAAGAAATGTCTCCGCAACTCTTTATCAATTGATTGAAATAAATTTTCCTGTTAAACTGCAAAATCATTTACCTTTAGTCAAGGCATTCCTGGATTCCTGGAACATGTTGATAAATCTGTGCTTAACGGGCAACTTCAATTTTTAATTATCATCAGCTTGTTATCTGGGAAGTGCAATCCTTCAATATTTAAAAGATGGAGTTTTGGGTGACTGGTTTGTTGATTTTGGATGTTTTTTTGCTGGTGTCACAATACCAAGACTGTTCACCCCTTTCCCATTTATGTTTAGGTAATTTATAATCAAACCAAACACAGGCACTAATTTTAGAATTATTATACTTTGGTCCAATTTATCACTTTTAAAGGACTCCATTAAAAAAAAATAATACCCAAGAAGCACAACATGGTGAGATGTATCCAAAAATCACATATAAAGAAAAACTAAGAGAGGTTTAAACCTCAAGGATTAATTAAGCAAAGATTAGACCATTCTATTTTCTTTTAAATATAAATTGTGCCCATTTTGTTTGCTCTGTCTGCCTCTGCAGAGATTCTCCCCTTCCATCCTCCCTGTCTCAGACTGGGAGAGTCATCTTCAAATGAACCTTAAAACAGGGGCTCACTTTTAATTTTTCCTATAATTATTAATAACTCCAATTGAATCAAGCTATTTGTCACTTAATTTAAACCCCACCTTCCATCCTAAATTGTTTGATTTAATTCCAGTTGATCAACTTTCATAACAACTCCATTAATGTCTCTGTCACAGTGATTTTCCTGCTGAATACTTGTAGCACAATTTGTGACACCTTGCAGGAAATTGAGCATTTTTGGTCAGCTTTCAGGAGAACCCACCAGTGGAATTAGCAGATAAAGTACCTGAACACTGGAATATTTCATGAAAAAATGAATGCTATTAAAAAGTTTGTAACTACAGATTGATTTCCAACTTCCCTCTGCAGAACCCTGACATTGCCAATGCAGAAATACACAAAAAAAAAAAAAAAAATCACAGTTTTAACAAAGACTGAGCAGTAAAGCATGAAACCACAAACCACAGGCAGCTACACTCAGGGACAAGCATGAGCACACAGACAGCAGATAACAATTCTGGGTGGCAGCAGAAAATCAAGTCTCTTTTATTCAAGATTTCAATTTGAACTCCTGATTCCAGCAGATTTGCTGACCTTGTCCTGCCCTTCCTGGATGAAAAGCACAGAAATTGGTAATTTCATTTTTGCAATCAAAGACTCAGAATCAGGGCTCAAATCTCCTCCTGAAGAGACTCTGCAGATTAAATTGAGTCAAACCCTGAGTTTGAAAGCTGAGCAGCATTTTCTTAAATAAAATAAAAATCAAATCAAATCCTCAACAGACAGATTGAGAATGCTCCCCAAACTGACATTCTTAATCATTTCAGTTCATTTTTTTCCCCCCACAATCAGGTTAGAAAAGAATTAACTGAACATTCAGAAAGGCTTAACGAGCCCTGGGTTACCTTCAGCTGATTATTGAAAATATCAATTTCCTGCAGCTTAGATCTGGTTTCTTTCTCCACCTCATCCAGCTGGTCCCGGAGCTGCTGCCGTGCCAGTTCCTTGGCTTCCAAGGCCCTTTTGATGGTGAGAAGGGAATCCCCTGGTTTGGAACACATTGTCAAGTCAGTATTTTCTTCTGTGGAACAGTTTAGGTCATAGAAAGCAACATTTTCCCATCTGCATCTTGCAACACACAAAGAGCAATTCCAGGGGACACTGCAGCGAGGGAACGTGTCCTGCCCCAGCTCAGGCATGCCCCAAAATCTACTCACTGTGCAAACTGTTCTGCTGGACCTGCTTGAGCTGATCATTCAGCAGCTGCTTCTCTGGAATCAGCCTGCCCAGCATCTGCTGGGACTCCTGGAGCACAGGGAAAACAAGAAGAGAAGCAGGCACAAAGGTGAGTGAGGGATAACTGCACCTCTCATCTTCATTTCTGCTTGGCTTGTTCCCTCGCTGAATGATGTGTTATTGCTTGCTTCCCTCCTCTGTATTATTGATCTTATCAATTGTGATATTCCCAGAGATCCCAGACATTCTGTGCCAGTCCAGGAGAGTGGATGCATGGAATTGATCTGATTCTCACTGAATATTGGAATTACCAATGGCTTGGAATTACCCAAAACTGAAGGCAGGGAGACAAGGCTAAATTTGAGGAAATGTTCAAACAGGCACTTACAAAATGTTTAATTCTGATTTTAATAAATGAAACACAGAATCCCAGGATCCCTGGGGCTGGGCCCAGCCCAGGCAGTGCCAGCTGTGCCCCATGGCCACCTTGTCCCCAGCCCAGAGCACTCAGTGCCACCCCCAGGGGACACCTGCAGGGATGGGCACTGCAAAGCTCCCTGGGCAGCCCCTGCCAAGGCCTGAGCACCCTTTCCATGGGCAAATTCCTGCTGCTGGCCCAGCTGAGCCTGCCCTGGCTGCCCCCTCCACTAATAGTTAATTAATAATATTAACAACAGTGTTAATGATTAGTAACTTAGGTCAGGAATAGAAAGACAAACAATTACAGGAAGAGAAAATAAAGACTTTCCTTTTAAAGGAATATATTCTGGCCAAAAGCCATGAAACACAAGCCCTGTGGGATGACAGTCCCTGAGTCCTTGACCTCTCCACGCTCAGCTCTTGGCAGAGGATTCTGATCTCAAACTCAGCACGTGGTTGGAAGGTTGTGAACTGCTGTGCTACAGGGTCCCTGCAGAAGGTACTCTCCCTTTGGAGGATCCTATAAATGTATTTCATGTGGAACCCTGGCCTTTTCCAGAAGCCCTTTCCATCTCACACGCTTTTCTGAAGCCTGCACCTCCCAGCTCGAGTTGTCAAAACACCTTCAGCAATACAAGGTGGAACAGCACCTGAGTATCAACATTCCATCTTTCCTACAAACCCTGGAACATTTCTGAGCAGTTCTCTGGAACTGCAGGCTTTTGAGGAATCAAGAAGCTGACAGCTTCAATTTGTCATGGAGGATTGCAGTGGCATCACTCAATGCTAAGAATAAATGTCCCCTGATCCCTGAACACCAGAGTGAGCCCCAGGGCTGTCGTGGACTCCCCATCCCTGGCAGTGCCCAAGGTCAGGCTGGACAGGGCTTGGAGCAGCCTGGGACAGCGGAAGGTGTCCCTATCCTGGCAGGGGTGGCACTGGGTGGGCTTGAAAGTCAATCCCAACACAAGTCATTCTGTGATCCCACAATTCCACAAGAAGTTTTAGTTATGGTTAAAGCCAGGGTTGAGTGCACTGCCATGGCTTTGGGCTGTCCCACTTTCCTCCTGCCCGACCCTGACGGGGCTCTGCAGTGCCCAGCTCAGCTCTGAGCATTATGCAACAACTGCAGCCTCCTGTGAGCTCCTGATGTCCCAGAAAATACCCTGAGACAGCACGCAGCACAGCCAAGGACTTCAGGAATTCACAAGCAGAAAAATTCAGATAAACTACAGATTAGATTATGAGGAGCTGCACGTGTCCCTCAGAGCTGCAGGGCCTGACACAGCAACAGAGCCCTCCCAGCTCCTCAGGGACATCCCAAAGCTGGACACTAATCCTGCCCTGCCCTGGGGCAGCCTCACCTCCAGTGCTGGGGACATTCTGGGTGTCTCAGTATCAGAGATCCCAGAGAGAGCCCCAGGAGGGACACGGGGATGGGGAAGGGCCTGGAGGGGCCCCCCGAGGTGCCTCGGTCAGTTCAGCTGGAGCAGCCTGAGGTCAGAGCTCCCCGGGGCTGCAGCTCCTCCCGAGGGGCAGCGCAGGGACAGCTCCGAGCTCTGCTCTGGGACAGGGACAGCACCAGGGAGCGCCTGGGGCTGGGCCAGGCCAGGCCAGGCTGCAGAGCAGGGAAAGGCTCTTCCCCAGAGGCTGCTGGCACTGCCCAGGCTGCCCAGGGAATGGGCACGGCCCCGAGGCTGCCAGAGCTCCAGGAGCCTTTGGCCAGCGCTGCCAGGGATGCCCAGGCTGGGATTTTGGGGGTCTGTACAGGACCAGGGGTGGCACTGGGGGGTCCCTGGGGGTTCCTACAGCTCAGGATATTCCATGACTGCCATCCTGGGACTATTGTCTGCCTGGAACAAATGGGAAACACCAATATACAAATCTATAGCCTTGCTCTGGTGGGAGATTCCCTGCCCATGGCAGGGTGGATGAGCTTGAAGGTCCCTTCCAAACCAAACCCCTCTGTGTTTCTGTGGCTCTGAGAAGGCTGCAGATCAACCAAGCAGCAGAATGTTCATCAGCATGAAACAGAAAATCTCCTTCTCCAAGTACAAAAAGCACCACAGGACAGCATTTGAGGGTGGAATGTGATCACAACATCAGCCCCCGGGGCTGCAGCTCCTCCCGAGGGGCAGCGCAGGGACAGCTCCGAGCTCTGCTCTGGGACAGGGACAGCACCAGGGAGCGCCTGGGGCTGGGCCAGGCCAGGCCAGGCTGCAGAGCAGGGAAAGGCTCTTCCCCAGAGGCTGCTGGCACTGCCCAGGCTGCCCAGGGAATGGGCACGGCCCCGAGGCTGCCAGAGCTCCAGGAGCCTTTGGCCAGCGCTGCCAGGGATGCCCAGGCTGGGATTTTGGGGGTCTGTACAGGACCAGGGGTGGCACTGGGGGGTCCCTGGGGGTTCCTACAGCTCAGGATATTCCATGACTGCCATCCTGGGACTATTGTCTGCCTGGAACAAATGGGAAACACCAATATACAAATCTATAGCCTTGCTCTGGTGGGAGATTCCCTGCCCATGGCAGGGTGGATGAGCTTGAAGGTCCCTTCCAAACCAAACCCCTCTGTGTTTCTGTGGCTCTGAGAAGGCTGCAGATCAACCAAGCAGCAGAATGTTCATCAACATGAAACAGAAAATCTCCTTCTCCAAGTACAAAAAGCACCACAGGACAGCATTTGAGGGTGGAATGTGATCACAACATCAGCTGCTTTGTTTGTAAAGGCCAGAACACTTCCAAACATCCCAGATTACTCAATGCACTGAATAGTTTGGGGAGTGTGTAAGGACAGAGAATGCCAAAGCATCCTGAAGGCCAAGTCCTGTTTCCTGAAAGCCCAGACAAGTATGGAATAAGCACCTAGCCAAGAACACCCACCACATGGATTCCACATCCCTGCCTCATACTGAAGAAACAGATGAAAGAAATTAAGAGCATCACAAACTCTGGAAACTTGTGCATCAAAAAATGGCCAAGAGTTGAGCAATGTCCCACATGGAGGGGAAATAAAACCCAGCTCCTGCCCCTTGGACAAGGGAAAATTCTCTTCACATCACCTGGGAGCCAAAATGTTCACCAAGGAGGTAAATAATGCCTCAGCACTGAGCAAGCCCCAGCCAGCACAAAGGTGTTTCCAGCACAGCCCAGGTGTCTGGAGAGCAGGACCCTGCTGAGCATCCCTGCAAGCAGCACAGAGCCAGAGAACTGGCACACATCCTCACCACCAGCACCAACTGGGACACCACTTCTTCCACAAGTTTAATGAAACTGCATCTTGGGAGTAATTAATAGGCTGAAGAATAATTACTCTCTGAATTAATTCATCTTCCCACAGCAAGTGTCAGATGTACTAAACTGAAGTACTTCCAATGAAGATACATCACCCTACAAAGATAATGACAATATTGACTTTATAACCCTTTTGAGAGTTGAGAGGATGAAAATCTCCTTTTTTAAAACTCATTTACATCTTTAGTTTGTCCTCTACAGATGAGATAGGAAAATTTACAGGATAGTTGAAAAAATAATTTTTTTTCAGGAAAAAGTCTTAAGGTTCTCCCTAGACAAAATGTGGCCTTTTCTCCTAAGTAATAACATTTTCTGGGATCACAACTGGGATAAAAACACCTCAAGTGACACTAAGGGAAATATCAGTGGTGGAGATCAATGAGAGCAGGCATCAGCACACAGCCACAGCTGCTGCCAAAGCACCTCAAACCAAAACCCAACAGAGCAACTGCCAGGGAAAGCAGGAGTGAAGCTGGGATGGGATTATTTCATTATCATTTCTAGAATAAAAATGATTTATAAAGTATTATTATACTATGTAATTATATTATAATATTAAATAAAAGAATTTAAATTAAATGAAATTTATTTAAATTTGTATAAAAAGCACAGACCCTCAAAAAACCAGTCTCATAATCTGAGTTTGATCCTCACATGGGGCACCACTAAATGTTGGTTTATTTTATTTTTGCTTGTTTGTTTTTGTTATGGCTGGGATTGAAAGTGTTTGAGATGGTATTTTGTGTTTGGACTTAAATGTTTATTATTTTTTACTTACATTATAGTTTTATAAGTTGTGAGTTTTATAGTATTTTATTACTAAGTTATAAAATGGCTTTGTATTTATCTTTATAAGTTTTTTTTAAGGAAAAGCTATTTAATTAAGAAATTATATTTAAACTATTTTTATTTTTAACTTAATAACTAATTACTTTTTAACTTAATCACTAATTTTTACAATAAAATAGCAGGATTAGAATTTAAGCCAGGTTTTGCACCTCAGCTCCATAAGTGTGAGATTCTTTTTAGTGCTACAAACACCCTGAGAGCCCCCACGACCAGCCTAGAATTAATTTCAAGCCCTATGAAGTATTTAATAAAGAGAAAAATTCCTGAACCAAATGCTACAGAAACCCTTACAAGCCACAGTGAATATTCTTTCCTAAAGGCAGACACCTCTGAGCTGCAGCTCTCATGTGACAGAATTTTACATTGGTAGGAAAGGCAAATGCCAGGCTCAGACCAACAACTCCCTGGGAGCTTCCATTTCCAAAGTTCATTATTTTTAATCATTAAAAAAACCATCAACAAGCCACTTCACTGCAGTCAGCTCTTTCAGCACACAAAGAGCAAAAATTCCACAGGACTATTTCCTTCTGCTCCCCCCAAAAATTTCTGCAGCCAGAGCATTTCCTGCTCCCACAGCAGCAGCCCAGCAGGATGAAGGGACAACCCCAGACACTCCTTCAAGTGCAGGAAGCAGTTCCCAGGCACCTCTGAAGGACACAAATTTACAGGAATGACAAATTATCCTGAAGTGTGAGGAACAGCTCATTCCAAGTTTGCTCAGGGTATTGATGTTTTTGAGGAGGTCAAAATTCAAGGCTAAGAACAAAAATAGAGAACATTTTCTCACCTGTAGCTGCTGCTGCAAATGGGTGATTTCTGCAATTCTGAGTTCTCTGGATTTATTTGTACTTTCAATTTCTTGTCTTTGGGTCGACAGCCGACACCTGATGTCCTGAAGCTTCCCCTCCAACTGGTTTCTTTTATCATTCTTTAAAAGAAAAGAAAAACATCTATTTAATAAGTTTTTTAACCAAAATGTTCGGTCGTGCAAGTCTGGATCCAAGAACGTCTTTTTTAAAAACTCCTTTTTTAAAAACTCATTTACATCTTTAGTTTGTCCTCTACAGATGAGATAGGAAAATTGACAGGATATTTGAAAAAAAATTTTTTTCAGGAAAAAGTTTTAAGGTTCTCCCCAGACAAAATGTGGCCTTTTCTCTTAAGTAGTGACATTTGCTGGGATCACAACTGGAATAAGGAAAATGTCAGTGGTGGAAATTCTAGAAAACACAGAAAACAAACAGAGCCAGGGCACAGTCACCACCTTGTGTATTGAATTTGCAGGGCAGCCCTGACGAGGGGAGAGAATGATGCATCTGACTCCATCTTATTAGAAGGTTAATTAATTACTTTATTATACTATATTATTTTTATATTATATAACACTATATTACATTAGATCTGAGATGAATCTGCTAAGCACTCAACATCACAACATTTTGTGGCTGTCAGCTGACAGTCCTGACACACACACACTTGGCCCTGATAGGCCAAGGAAACAAAACACCATCATTCTGGGTAAACAATCTCCATACTGCATCTTACTTTTGCACAAACACAGGCAGAGCAAATGATAAGAATTGTTTTTCTTTTCTCTGAGGTTCAGAGAATGTGAAACCCAGAAATATTCTTGGGAAGAATTGTGCCTTGCTTTTCTCTGTGAAGAGAAATGTGGCAACACTTGTGTGTTTGAGCTGCTCCACCACCACCACCACTCACGAGAGCTTCCAGTTCGAACTCCAGGGTTTTCTTCTTGGCCTTGAGCACCACGATGTCCTCCTGCTCCTTGTTCCTCTGGTTCAGCAGCTCCTGCCGCCGGTTGCGCTCCCACTCCAGCTGCCTCTGCCTCTCCAGCTCCCGTTTGGCAGCCTGCAGGTTCAAAAGGAACAGCTGCAATTTGGGATGTTCCTATTCTGATATTCAGTTAGAATGTTGGTACAAATGGGGGCTGCTCTGGGCTCTGCACACACAAATTGCTCAGGGGCTGATTCCCTGCACAGCAGGGGATGCCTTGTGAGGCTGAGCCAGAGCAGAGGCTGGGCAGAGCTAAAGAATAAAGCAGGGATCGATTCCAAGGATCTCCTCCATGGATCCACCTCGGGCAGCACAAGAGCCCAGCCAGGGCTGCCCCCAAGATGAACCCAAATGGCCCCAAAATGCACGAGCGCTCCCGGGGTCTCTCCCTGGGATCAGCTCTGCTCCATGTGCACATTGCAGTTCAGTGTCCAATTCCAGCTCAGCCCCTGCACTCCCATCCTGCTTGTTCTTCTCTCTGCAGCCCACGGGGTTTGTGCTCCTGGGCTGAGATTTGGATCATTTGTCCTTGGTGCCCAGCTGGAGCAGGAATTGTTTTGTGTCCCTGCTCTGCGCACAGAGCTCACCATCCCCTCATGTGAAGCTCAGAACTGCACTCTAAAGCAGCACAGAATGTGAAAATATAAAAGCTAAACCTGAGGCATCACAAAGGTGACCGAACAGAAAACCCCTCTGTTCTCCAAGATCCAGTTTGCTGATTTAACAGGTTGTTTAATACCAGAACTGGGAGAACTCTCCAAGACATATTCCAATCTCCAGCACTAGACCCTCTGCAGCTTTGTGTTTCTGTGCTGAACCTATCACAGTTTGGCAATGGGAGAAAAAGGGAGATTTTTTGGGTTACCCAGGGTGTGTTTCCCTTAACAAATTCAAGGCCAGGTTGGATGGTACTGCCTGGTCTGGTGGGTGTTATCCCTGCCCATGGCAGAGGGTTGGAACTGGAGGATCTTTAAGGTCCCTTCCAACCCAAACCATTCTGGGACTCCATGAAATGAACTCAGCCCTGGAAAATCATGAATGCCAGATCATTCACGCACCTCTTAACATCAAATATAATAATATAACAGTAATAATAAATATTATTTTTAAAGAAGTGAGAGGTCAGGAGCATGTTGTCCTAGATGTCAATGTCTCATCCATTCATTTCACAGGACAAATGAAGCAAAAACTGCCCCTTCCTTGCCTTTAACACCCCAGAAATTTTAGTTCCTGCTTTAAAAGTTTGCTCCCCACCTTGGCAGCAACACACCAAGTGCCCAGCACTCACCTGGATGCTCCCAAGCTGGAGCACTGCTGGAACCCTGGAACTGACAATTCCAGACTCTGTGCTGCCAGGCACTGACCCCCAGGAGAACACTGCACTGACCTGAGGGCCTGGAGAAGCTTCCAGAATGGAATGACAGAACTGGGATTGTGGCTGTGCAGTTTGGATAGAAGTGTGTGATATCACAGGGTGGAAAACTTAAGGAGCTTAAGGTTTTAGAATGTAGTAATATATATAAAGCAAGATGGAGGGTTTAGGGTGGAGGCTGCTCCTTCTTCACCTTCTTCTCTTTGGGTTTGGGTGGTTTTGTGTCATTGGATAAAAAAGTCCCCAGTGAGGGCACGGGTGGTTGGGTATTGGGTTAAAAGTGAAAATAATTTAGGTGTCACTTCTTAATTGGACAATTTATAATTATTATTTCTTACAGGCCTTAAAAAGCCTTGCAGAGAGAGAGACAGGGCTCCATTTTTAGTTTGTTGGAGTGCAGTGCTGCAGAGCTCAGGGTTTGTGAGACTGTGACAGAGACAAGAGCTGATAAACATCTGATTCCCAACAAGAAATACCCCTCACACATCGAATCCCAACCCTGGCAGAAAAAAGAAGCCAAGACCCCGCAGGGCCCAGCCCTCCCTGTGCTGCCCTGGCTCACCTCTCTCCTCTCGATCTCCTTCCTCCTCTCCTCCTCGCGCTGCCGCTCCAGCTCCCGCTGTTTCTCCAGCTGCTTCTCCAGCTCCAGCTGCCGCTTGCGCTCCTGCTCCTGCCGCTCGCGCTCCTTCCTCTCCTGCTCGGCCCTCTCCAGCTGGGCCAGCCTCTCCTGCTCCTTGCGCTGCTGCTCCAGCAGCGCCTGCCTGCGCTTCTCCAGCTCCAGGTTGCCCCGCTCGAAGTTCTCCCGCTTCTTGTCCTCGAACGTCACTTTGGGCAAAAGGACAGTTAAACTCTGCCACTGACTTAGAAACAAATAAACGCAGAAATCCAAAGGAAGCCCCAGCAAAGGGAATGCACCTTCCAGCAGGGATAAGCCAGCACCTCCCCACTAGGGATAGCGGCTCCACAGGCCAGCCTGGGGTTTAGTGTGGGAGATGGATTTGTAGAGAGCTCTCAGGGCCTCACAGAAGGTTCACACCGTGTGTATCTGTGTGCAAACCTTGAGGTGAGAAATGCTGACTGAGAAATGCCGTGGAATGGAACAGACATTGCTGAGAGAGAAATGGAGCTGGAAACAAGTTTCAAAGGATGGCCTTGCAAATAAGACTAGGTATTTTAGAGAAACAGAACTATAAAAGACTGATGTTACTGATCCCCTCAAAGCCACATCCTCAGCAAATCAAGGCAGGAATTCCCATTCCTCAGGCCTCCAGCTTTCTCCACAAACTCAGCAAGGGGAGTAATTTAGTGAAACCATTCTCCAGCTGATCCTCCATGAGGACATGGATCTGGAATTCCTCTGTACATGGGATTATAGCAGCAGTCCAACAGCCAACACTTCCATTAGTGCAAAGAATTCATCTGCTGACATCATCAAAAGGCCATTATGCAAATGACCAGAACTTACTTAAAGTTGCTATTCTCATTAGATTGCCCATTAGTGTCAGGAAAAGAAATGGTTTATGTTCTTGAGCAGCTGAGCCCAGGAAGTCTGGATTCCTGCAGATCCACATCCTCACCATCTACTGTCCTTAAAGAACAGCCTCCCTTCCAGCACAGCTTCCCTGCCATTCCTCTGCAGTCCCAGGGACCGTCCTTCCTTCTCCTCACTCCTCAGCACCTCCATCCAAACGGTTCTTTCCCTTCACCTTCTGCTCCTTTTCACACCCTCTGTGTGCCATTCCCCAGCCCAAAGTGCAGGTTTCTCTCCCTTGTGTGGCCAGCATGGACATTTTTGGGATGCAAGGCCAGGGAGAGCCCACATTGCCTTCCCAGCCGGACACATCAAGCCAACACCTGCTGAACCAGCTCAATTCTTGTCTTTTCCAGTTTGTGCCCCTTTCCAGTTGCCAGTTCCCTCTTCCTTCAGTTCTTTTCCTGGAAGTGCTGAATTCTGTATTAAGCCCCACACTGTTACACAGACTCCAAGGAAGGAGCTCTCTGTGGGAACACTGGGACCTTTCACAGAGCACCTCAGTCAAGCTTTGCTCCACCTAAGCCAGAGGATGAAGGCATCAGGAATTCTTCCTTGCAATCCTGTGCCAGGGCTGCCCATGTGGGGAGTGCAGGAGATGAGCAGCCTGAAGGCTCTTCCCCATCTCCAGTGCCACCAACCCAAAGGATCAGGCACAGGAATGAGCTGGACCCAGCAATGTCTTGGTTGTGCCTTACCTGTCCCAAACTGCTCTGGAAAGACATTTCTGTCAGCCCGTGTAACCTCCCAGGCTGTGACCTGATGGGAAAACCCCTCTGGGAACAGCACACTAAATATCCCTGCTTTCCCTTGCTCACCTGGTAATTTCTTTTCCAGTTGCTGCTGTTCTTCCTCCAGTGCTGGTTCTTCAGGTAACCTTTGGTCTACAGACACTGAACTGGCAGCAGAAATCCCACTGCCGGAGCGGACTCTTCTGCCAAGGAAACAGGAATTGTGGGTGCTTAACAGAACCCAGGGCCACCCAAATTATTTATGATTTAATGATGAGATCAAACTAGATGCAATGATGTAATGTTTCATGGTACTCAATGTCCATTCAGTGCTGCCCAGAGGGTCTCACTCAGGCATTGCCTCAGAACAGGATTTTCCAGGATCCCAGCATTTCACTGGTGAGCTGAGAACCCCAGTCCCAAATTCTGCTTCCAGATGGCTTCAACCCTGTCCCCAAGATCTCTCACTTGGGGGGAGATTTCTCCCTAACCAACCTGAGTTTGGGAAATGCTGCCTTAAACTACAGCAAAAACAGCAGAGACAGAGGAAGAGGTCACTATAGTCAAGCTAAAAGCAAGATGCCAGGTGGAACACACAAAAATTGGGAATGTTTAGGAGGATACCTGAAGCACCCAGCATAAAAACACTTATTTAAATTGCTGTTAGTTCTTCCCATCTATTTCTCCACAAAGAAGTGAAATGGAGCAAGAGAAGTGATGAGTGATCCCACTGTTCCCAAACCCAGCTGTACCAAAGGAGGTCTGGATGTGGTGCAGTGCAAATCCATATTGGAATTCCAAGACATTCTGACTGCTCTACAGGAGTATAAGCCTGAACTTAAACCTTGGTTTCTATGGCCAGACTGAGCAGGTCTGGAAGTTGTGCCAGCACAAACACCCACCCAAACCCTGTTCTCACAGGGCAAAAGGTGAGGGGTCACTGCTCAGCTGCTGCACTTGGCACTCCCAGAACCATCCCAAATGACATACAGAACTCAGGATGAGACTCCCAAGGGATGAGCAGTTACCTGAACGAAGGTGGGATGTACTCTGGGGGCAGGGCAGGTGGCAGTGGCTGACCAGACATGGCTACATCAATGAGGTGCATAGCCAGGATGAACTCCTCAGCTGTCAGCTTCCCATCTTGATCAATGTCAGAGAGATTCCTTGTTAAAGGGAAGGGACAAAGCAAGGAAATTATTAAATATTAGAAACCACTGATCAAAGGCATTGTTTCAACATACACTGTTCCAAATGGATTCAATTTTTTCCACTATTTATTCCCCACTACTCTGCTTTTTCAAAACAAATCAAAACCAAACCCTAAATGCTTCCCTATTTCCCCCTTTTCTCGTGGCTGTCTGTCTGAAATCCAGCCTTGCAACCACAGCTTCTCCTTCACCTGCTCTGAGTGCTGCCAGGAGCTCGTGCCAGAGAAGAACCTTTAACCAGTGGAGTTCTCTTGAACACCTCATGAGCACCCAAAAGAACCAGCTCAGGTGTTTGGCAGAACTTTTAGGATTGGCCTCCTTCCTCCCTGGAGGCTCCTATCTCACATTCCAGGGCACCCACTAGCAGTGAAATCAAAGCCATTGATGTTCTAGTCCTGATAAGCACCAACCCACCCTGGCATTATGCACATATGAAAAATTACAGAGTAATGTCTCTGGATGGCCCCAAAGCAGGGCTCCAAGAGAGGCACAACATGCTTTTACTCCTGTTAAGGTGGTGTTGGACAAAATTAACAGCTAGGGACAGCACCCAGGGAGCAGCTGGAGCTGGGCAAGGACAGAGTTAAGTTAGATTTTAGGGAAAGGTTCTTCCCCAGAGGCTGCTGGCACTGCCCAGGCTGCCCAGGGAATGGGCACGGCCCCGAGGCTGCCAGAGCTCCAGGAGCCTTTGGCCAGCGCTGCCAGGGATGCCCAGGCTGGGCTTGGGGGGTCTGGGCAGGGCAGGGGTGGCACTGGGGGATCCCTGGGGGTCCCTTCAGCTCAGGATTTGTTTCTCCAGCGTGCTGCACTCTAATCATGCAGGGAAGTCTCCCATGATACTGTGAAAATCCAAGGGAAGCAAGTGTAAATTCTTCTGAAGTCCCAGGGCACAGGACTTTGCTGATGGGATTTAAATTTGGGAGACAATCCCAGCCTCACTCCATCCACACCTGTGCCACTGAACTCCACAGGCTGGAGCACAGGCACAAGCCAGGAGACTGGGAATGCACCGTGCACAGAAATGACTGATCAGCTGGGTCAGAACTCCCAGGACAGCCCAGAGACTGAGCAGCTCCTCTTCCCTTTGAGTGTGTGAGCCAGGGATTCCAGCCCAGCACGGGCTGACAAACCTCACCCCAGAGCAGGGCCCAGGAAAGGACCAACAAGAGCTGGAATCTCCCCTCCTATCTCAGTGCACTGGCAGCTGTCAGTGTCCCCAGCTGAGTGAGTCCTGTTTGCAGCTCCTGCAGTGAGCTGGTGGCAGCTGCCTGCCCACACAAGCACTCCAAGGCTGGCAAAAGCAGAGCATTTTTTGGTTAAGCATCTGCTGGGGGGACTGAGCTGGTTTTTTTTTATCCCTTTGTTAGGAAGCAGAGAAGGAAAGAGTGGTTTTTAATTTATAACACAACTCCCAGTGCTTTGCAAAGAGAACAAGTGCAGCTGAATGGCCTTGTCAGAGTGACTGCACCACTGCCATCCTCACACTGAGCCCCTGGGCCAGCTCCAATGCCTCTCAAGCAAACACTCCTAAAGGACAGAAGTTAATTAGGAACAACTTCCCATGGGGCAATAAAAACATAATAAAGTTCAGCAAACAACAAGTTGGAAGGCAAAAGGGAAGCTGAGACAAATGCTTTTAAAATCCATTACTGTACAGGTCTGTAAGTCCAGTCCCTGGGAAATCAGCCCTCCCATATCCATGGAAAAGGCAGAGAAATCCCACAGAAAGTGTGGCTTGGGTTGAGCTTCCTGTTCTACCACCTGTGCCAAGGTAAATGCTTCCCTGGTGCTCTGTCAGGGGATGTGGAAGGCACAGGATGCTGAACATCTGCTCTGCCTAAAAACTCAGCACTGAACCACAACTTCCAAAACATCACACAAAAGATGCTCCTGGTGCTCCTGTGGAATAATATTAGTAAAGGCATGGAAGTGCAGGTTGTGTTTATAAAGTTACACAGGACAAAGAGCAACATGTGATTTATCAGGGAGACTGAAAGTGGAGAAAACCCCACTGGCTCACTGCAGAGCTTTCAGAAGAGTTTGTGTTTTGATGGAAATGGAAACATTTATTTTACCATATTGTAGCCAGCTGAGCCTGGGGTAAACTTGACTGCATGAGAATCGTTCTTGCTTGGGGACCTAAAAAGGAAACAAATATTAACAAAATAAGCAAGAGATGTGACCAGTAGCAACTTGGCTCCCCAAATAACCACGAAATAATGCTGCACTTCTGCACAACCACAGAATCCCAGCCTGGCTTGGGTTGGGAGAGATCTTAAATCCCACCCAGTGCCACCCTGCCATGGCAGGGACACCTTCCCCTGTGCCAGGCTGCTCCAGCCCCAGTGTCCAGCCTGGCCTTGGGCACTGCCAGGGATCCAGGGGCAGCCCCAGCTGCTCTGGGCAACCAAATCCCTCAGATTAAAACCCAAGAAAGCTCTAAAGCACAAAGACATGCACCAGAACTGGCAAAATCAAGCCAGAGGATCAGTTCTAGTCTCTCCCTGGAACTGGACACTGCTCTCAGCAGTGGGTGAACCAAGCACTGGAAATGGCTGCACAAGTTGTCACAGAACCCACTGTGCCCTTTTCCAGAAACATTTCCCAAGGTCAACTTTGCAGAAAATAAAGGAAAGATGGTGATAAAATGATCCCAGGAGTGATGAATACTTGCTCCTAAACAAGAGCATTAAGCACCTGGGAGATTCAAACAGAAAAATACTGATAAGCCTCTTGCTATGTGAACAACACCCCCAGTGCCATGAAATTGTCTCTTACAGCTCAAAAGAAGGAGACAACAGAAGCTGTGCCAGTACCTGTCAAGTGTCCACTCATGGTTTTGTCGTGGCTGTTGAAGAGCTGCCGGTACTTGAGCCGTGAGGACTGAGGCACAGCCCACTCTGCCACAGCAGGAGAGCTGCAAGGAGGGCAGGGAGAACAGGGAGAATTGGAGATTTCATCTCAAGCAGGTCATGGGAACAATCACAGAGTCACAAATCACAGCAGGGTTTGGGCTAGAGGGACCTCAATCCCTCCCAACCCAAACCACTCCATGATCTAATATTCCCTGGTATTACTGAAACCACCACAGGTTTGACCTCTTGTTTGCAAACATTTATCACAACTCAGTCTCTTGGAAGATTTTTTTTAAGAGTTTTGCTTTTTTCTTTACTTAGAAGTAAAGAAAAAAGCATTCCTTAGAGAATGAAGGAACCTAAATTGTTCAGAGGATCTACAAGATTTTACCTAAACATGTAACAGGAAATGCAGAACAGCATTTTACTCTGTCTTTAACTGTTTCTCCTAGCCAAACAGAGCTGATTAGGGAAAACAAATACAAAATATACTGGAAATGTAGAGATAAATGTGTGAAAAAGCCACAGTTGAACGTAAAGTTTCTCCTAATGGAACAAGTGAGCAATGTAATATTCCCAGTTCTAACCCATTTCCATAACAGACTGAGCTGATTTGCAGCTCTAATTTCCCAGACTTGATGGCTGAGAAATCCTAATTCTGAAAAGCAAGGAGCAGAGTTTTTCTGCCTTTAGGCACATTCAAACTTTGTCCTTTTTTTGACCTTATAAACCATTCTCACATGACAAGACACAAACCAGTATCTCTATTTCTATTTTTGATTTCCAGACTCTTGAGCTTCTATAATACCCCTTCATGGGAGCAAAGCAAAAACAAGCTGCCCCTTCAATAATGAAAATAAGAAGAAAGGCCAAATATTTCATTTTTACCCAGGAAATTTAATTTTTACCCAATTTTAACTGAGGAATTCCTCCTCAGTCTTGCTGGATTTGGGGGTTCCACACATTTTAACTTCTGTATGTTACACACAAATTATACCAGAGCATCCCTATTCTGTTCCTGGCCAGTTTAGGTTTCAGAGAGAAAATTAATTGTTTTGAAAGACTTTGAATTATTTCCCAATACTGAGTAGTGTCATTTATCTAATAGCAGGGCAATAGACAAGCCTGCAGAAGGAAATGGAAATAAAACCAGATCATTTGTGTCCCAAGCCATTTTCCTCTTGCAAAAAACCTGTGCCATAGATGTGTGAGACAGATGATTTATAAGGACTTTGGGAAATCCCTCTCTTAACTCCTCTCAGGAAGTTTTATTTTGTTAGATGCATTTTTTTAAACCACAGTAAAACCCTTTTTGCCCAACTACACGTTTTTCTAGGCCTTGGATTAATCTAAAAGCCCTTAAAGTGATTTTTCACACAGAACTTGAAGAATATAGAAGAAACAGTGATATGGAGTGCATTTAAAATACGAGACCTATTAAATATTTTGCTTTTAGCAATTAGCCTGCAGTTGCTAATTTTAAATAATGCATTACTTGTGTTGTTCTCCCAGTACCAGGAGCATCTGTGCACGACGCAGGTTTTGTTTATAGAAGCAAATGCTGTTCTAAAAATCAAGTGAAGATCACGTCAGCACTGTCAGCAGTTAATTACTTTATTTCCATGATTCCCTGCTCCTGGAGCATTAAAAAGGTGGAGTAAAGCCACAGCATCCCACAGAATGCTGGAGTGCTACCTCTGCAGAACTGATTCCTGCCAGAACTATTATTTCAGACGAGCACTTTGGGAAAGGGAAGGAGTTTTCCCAATCTGAGGACCCGAAGCCCCCTGGCTGCCCCTCCCTGCCCCAGCCCCACCTGGCCACGTCGAAGGATTGTGCCTTTTGCAGCTTGGCATTGAGCTGAGCTCCCGGCCCCGAGCGGCTGAAGGAAGAACTCTTTGGCAAAGTGGCTGGGAAGAGAGAAAACAGGGATTTATGGCTATTCACAGTGAACCAGGCAATGCCCATGACACTCATTCACTCCTACATCCAGTACAAGCACTGTGGCTCTGATGGGAACTTTTTAACAATATGAAGATCAGAGAGTCCAGCAGGACAGGGGAAACACAAGGGCACTTCCCTCATATCTTTTTACTTCCACAGCTTTATGGAAACCCTGTTGACACCAAATTATATTTTGGTACATGTCAGGAATGTTATGTAGTTCAGTATTAAAGTCACCCTAACAAACAGCAGTATAAAGAGACAGGAGAGGCCCAATTTCCAGGCAACAGCTTCCTGGCAAGTTCATTTCTCCAAGTGCTGTTTTATTTTCTCACCACGAGGGACTCCTGCGGGGAGGCCATGTCCACATTCCTTCTTTTAGCTCTTCTCCAAGTGTGCCAAGTGGGCTAAAGCAAAGCACAGTCCTTCCCCAAAGGCATCACTGGAGTGGCTAATCCCACGTGTCCCGAGGAAATGCAGGGGAGCTGTTAGGAGCAGGAGACAGAGAGTGAGAGCAGCGTACCGGGGTGAGCGAAAGCAGGCAGGGGCTGGATGACAGCAGGAGCTCCGTTAGCCAGGGGAGGGACGGCGGCAGGGACAGAGGACACCAGTGGGGGGGACATCCCCACGACTGGGATGGATGCCATGGGCACCGGGGCCACAGTGGTGAGGGATGGCATGTTGGCAATGCCCCCGAGACCTACGGGCGAGAAAAGCACAGGTTGGTTCTGACGCACACCCGAGACGACCCGCGGGGTCACTGACACCTCCGGAGCCAGCTCCCCGCCCCTGGGACAGCCCTCCCAGCCCTGCAGGGACAGGAAGGGGACACAGGGCACAGCGACAGCCCCAGAGCGGGGCAGCACTGCCCCCAGCTGCTCACAGGGAATTGTGTGCCTTGACCTGAGAGAGGAGCAGCGCTGGCAGCCCCAGGCTGGCCCCGAAGCTGCAGGGTTGCTGCTGCAGCCCCCAGGCTGGCCCAGAAGCTGCAGGGTTGGTGCTGCAGCCCCCAGGCTGGCCCAGAAGCTGCAGGGTTGCGGCTGCAGCCCCCGGGCTGGCCCAGAAGCTGCAGGGTTGCTGCTGCAGCCCCCAGGCTGGCCCAGAAGCTGCAGAGTTGGTGCTGCAGCCCCCGGGCTGGCCCAGAAGCTGCAGGGTTGCTGCTGCAGCCCCCAGGCTGGCCCAGAAGCTGCAGGGTTGCTGCTGCAGCCCCCAGGCTGGCCCAGAAGCTGCAGGGTTGCTGCTGCAGCCCCCAGGCTGGCCCAGAAGCTGCAGGGTTGGTGCTGCAGCCCCCAGGCTGGCCCAGAAGCTGCAGGGTTGCTGCTGCAGCCCCCAGGCTGGCCCAGAAGCTGCAGGGTTGCTGCTGCAGCCCCCAGGCTGGCCCAGAAGCTGCAGGGTTGCTGCTGCAGCCCCCAGGCTGGCCCAGAAGCTGCAGGGTTGCTGCTGCAGCCCCCAGGCTGGCCCAGAAGCTGCAGGGTTGCTGCTGCAGCCCCCGGGCTGGCCCAGAAGCTGCAGGGTTGCTGCTGCAGCCTTTGCTGGGATGAGACAGGGCAAAGCTGATGGGAGAGCACAGGAATGAGAGGCTGAGGGTAAGCACAGCTGCAGGGAACCAGGGGGGTTAAGGAGGGCCAGTGGTGCCAGGGGAAGAAGGAGGGGTGTGCAAACCCCTCACATCACTCTACAGGGAATGAGAACAGGGGAATCACCATTTGGCTGGGCTTTGTGGGGGCTCATTTCATTCTGTCTTTTCTCACTTAACCCTGAATTGGCTCTGCCCAGTTTCACTGTCTTCTCCCAAAGAATTTTATTTCTGACTGTAAAACTTGGGGGGGTTACAGTGGATCAAACAACAATGCTGCAAGCAGTTTATCAAAGGCACTGTTCCCTTTCCTCAGGACATTTAGATGGGATTTTGGGATATTAGGAATTCCACCTGCAGGGTGAGCAGGCCCTGGCACAGGGTGCCCAGAGCAGCTGGGGCTGCCCCTGGATCCCTGGCAGTGCCCAAGGCCAGGCTGGACACTGGGGCTGGAGCAGCCTGGCACAGGGGAAGGTGTCCCTGCCATGGCAGGGGTGGCACTGGGTGGGCTTTGAGGTCCCTTCCATTCCAAACCATTCCGTGATTCCCAGGCACCAATAACCCTGAGCCACAGCAAAGACTAAAGCAGAAAGGGAAAGATCCTCTCACAAGAGGACCAAGGTGTCAGAGGTTTGGCTTTATTTGGTTATTTTCCTTTCCCCATCCCATCTTCCCTACGTTTTTCCTAGAAATGATGGTGACTTTGGCAACACTTCACCCCAGCAGCTGTTCAGCTCCTACCAGAGCAGCACTGCTCATCAAAGCAGATGGTAAAAACTCAAGAACAACAGAGCAGATCTTGCCAAAGCTGGAGATCCAGTAATGCCAACAGCTTAACCACAACTCCAGCCCTTTGGAATGCACTAGCCCTGCTACCTGAGCCATGTTTTGTTTGGAGCAGTGCAAACCTGAAGCAAACAGGAGCTCAGCTCAGGTAAAAGCCCAGTGCAATTCATCTCAGTGCATGTGCAACATCTCAGTTTGAGTCCGCGTGCTTTTAGAAGGACTTTTCCCTAAAATTTTCTTGGAGAAACTGCAAAAGGACAATGGAATTGCTGCAGTCCCAGGTAACAGGGAGGAAAATGGAGGAGAACAGGGATCTTACCAAATCCGGGGGCACCGGGCAGGGCGAGGGGCGGCTGCTTCATGACGGGCGGCAGCGCGGCCGGGAGCTGGTAACCCTGGAGCTTCAGTTTGATGAGTTTCATAGCTATGGAAAACTCCAAGGGATCCATCCTCCCATCATTGTTCATGTCAGCTAGAGCCCTGCAAAACAGTGTTTGCACAGTTACATCCTGCAATGAGGAACTTCAGGCACTGCCCCGGGAGCAGGCTCACACGAGTGTGGATATTCAAGGCTGATGAAGGGGCTGGAGCCCCAGGAGGGGCTGAGGGAGCTGGGAAAGGGCTGGAGAATTCCTGGGTGGCCATGGGGCACAGCTGGCACTGCCTGGGCTGGGAGGGCTGTGCCAGCAGCAGGGATTTAGGGATTGTCACTAATTTCCACCCAAAATTATGCCAGGCTAAAACTAAGACACTATTTAAACGTAAGAGCTCCTTGATTTCTTTCCTTGGGTGATTAATAAGTATTTTTGAAATTGCTTTTCAACTCTTGAAGGAATTACAACAAAGCATCCAGAACAAATGCAGCTGCACAAAAACTTTGCAAAATCACACCAATGAAAGCACAGGGTCCTAAAACAGCACCACAGAGAAGCAAATCACTGAGTCTGCAAATCTGTACTTTAGCTCCACTTAAAATAAAACACTCTTGAAATCTGTGACTCCCCTCAGCACTGCTCCATCTGCAAGTGTGCAAATGTGTTTTCAATCAAACAATAGCACTCAAGATGAAACATTGAGCCTAGGCCTTGAATAGGCTTTCAGGGAAAGGAGTCTGACTTAAACAGTCTGCTTTTTGTTCCTTGCCTTGCTAGTTAAGAAAACCCAGCTCAGCAGGGAATAGGGCTGGGAGCTTGGGGGGAGAGAAGCAGGAAGCAGAGTGTCAGTTCCTGCCACTGCACACCAAAACCCCTGAGTAAATGCACATCAGTAACAGAAATAGCTGTACACTTTTTTTTTTGAACACTGTGCTGATTTCTGTGCATTAGTTTAAAGAATTAAGTACAGATTTCATGACTGGAATAATACAGATTTTGAAGATCATGCATTTACTTCTATGTCATGGGTGTGGCCCTGGGCAGGGTGGTTGAACCAGAGCTTCATTTCTGACCAAATTCCTCTCAAAGAGTTTTTGTGCAACTAAGTGAAAGTTATCCCAAAAGTACCCCAGTGAATTGACTGCTATTTATAAGTGACACACAAGGAGACAGCCAGGTAAATGTAGTGGCCAAATGGAAATCCTCCCACTCCAAAAAAACCCCCAAAACTTGAAAACCCCCATGGAGAGGCAGGGACTGGCATGGGTTTAGAAGCCACTAATCCCAGCAGCATCAGAGACACTCCAAACCTCTCCAGAACTCCTAAGAAAGGATTTCCAGTGGTGCAGCTGCCTTAATCCACCAGTTCTGATGCCATAGGGCTAAATAATAGAATGAAAATCTGGGAGAAGCATTTAAAGCAAGTCTGGAGAGGACACTGAGACATGGATACTGATATCCTTAAAAAGCATGTGCTGCACCTGTGCCTGGAAGATGCAGAATTCCAGAATCCCAGACTGGGCTGGGAGGGACCTCAGAGCTCTTCCCATCCCACCCCTGCCATGGCAGGGACACCTTCCCCTGTGCCAGGCTGCTCCAGCCCCAGTGTCCAGCCTGGCCTTGGGCACTGCCAGGGATCCAGGGGCAGCCCCAGCTGCTCTGGCAATTCCATCCCAGCCCCTGCCCACCCTGCCAGGGAACAATTCCTCATTGCCCAGATCCCATCCAGCCCTGCCCTCTGGCACTGGCAGCCATTCCCTGGCTCCTGTCCCTCCATCCCTTGTCCCCAGTCCCTCTGCAGCTCTCCTGGAGCCCCTTCAGGCCCTGCCAGGGGCTCTGAGCTCTCCCTGGAGCTTCTCCTCTCCAGGGGAGCACCCCCAGCTCTCCCAGCCTGTCCCATAATAGTCTTACCAGTGGCTTGTGCACCTGCAAATACTTTGATTTACAAGATAAAAACCTTTCTATTAATTCTATTAGACCCTCAGTGGGTTCTATCCCTGGCCAGGAAAATACAGGAAGAGTAAAGATCACCCTGTAGGAACCTTGGCTCTCCAGGCACCATTTCCTGCTGGGACACAGCAAATCTTTGGATCCTACATGGGAAACATTCATTGCCCAGCAATCAGAAACTCTGATGTGCACCAGTGTCACTGCTCTCATTGAACTCCAATTCACATCAGCAGCTGTAGCTTTTCATTCAACATCTGACCTTCTGTGAACTCCTTTTACTCTACACCAACAGCTTCATTATTGAAATTGCCAGCACAAATATCAGTGCAGAGAGTTCTCTGCAGCCTCCAGAATTTCTCCAGTTTTACAGAGTGTAAAGAAAAAGCAGCTTTTGTCTGACAAACTCTTCCTGTTAAAATAGGACACATTTCCATTTCTAGTTGCAGAAGTTGGGATCAGGCTGCTGGATTTTACTGTGCTTCTCTGGAATAAGCAGCACCTGAAATGCAGGGAGCCAGCAAACACCACCTAATTCCACTAATTTCTGTTCCTAATGAAATTGGGACAATGTGGTGCCCTTGCATTTGTTTCATTTGTGGCCTGGCCGGAACCAGTGCAGAGTAAGTGGATTAAACATTGACTAAATATTTATTATCTTCTGTAGGCCAGGCCTGTGTTTGTATCTAATACAAGAGCTGCAGTGGGCTCAGCACCACCCTAGGGCTCAGGTGCTGACAAATCCTTCCCCATGGATCTTTTCCTCCTCCTTTCTCTCATCTTTTCTGTAGAATGAAAAGCCAGCTTGATTATTTTTGCATGTATGAGGTGCACAAACTGAACATGGGCACTTTTCCCACCAAACGTGCTGTAATGAGCACACAAAGCACCTATCCATGAAAGCAGCACTGTGCTAAGGCAGGGATCACTGTGCAGTTCCCAAATCTGCAGTGATTTAGCTGGACATTTGGACAGTCCCAGATGTGTCACAGGCTCAGCCACCAGCAGTGAGCAGCACTCAGCTCTCCGTGGATGCCTGTGCAGGAATTACCAGAATTACCCCACTTTGCCCACCCTTGGACACAGATTTAGGAAGGCTGGGAGGGAAGCAGATGTCAGGAACAGGGCAGTCACCCAGTGACTCTGTGCTGACAAAATAAGTAACCCCAAGAGCATGGAGAACAGCTGGCATTGATTATTTCAGCTCTCCTTTCATTCCAGGGGCCAGGCCACACAGGAGATGCTCTTTGAGGCCCCATTCCCCAGGGCTCTCAAGAAAGGCAGATTATTCCCCTAAGCACAGTTATCTCCCAAGCCACTGCAGGCCCAGCTCAAAGCAAATTAGAGGCTTCTTAATTGATCACCAGCCTGGAGGATTCTGGAGCTGGTGAAGGGCAGAGCAGCACAGAAGCTGTCATGGCAGACCATAATACTTCACTCCTTTCCTCACTGAGGTCCCACAGACTTCTTTCCTTGTATGAGGAGTACGAGGGACACAGGAATTCTCACTGCTAATAAAAACTGCTGTTTTGAAGGACTGTGAATCCTGGGGAAGCTTTTATGGGCCCACAAGTGAGGCTTTTCTCCCATTATTCCACTCAGCTGCAGCTAAGATCAGCAGAATGACCAAGAGTAGGAAAACACTTCCAGAACACCACACCAGACAGCCAGACCCTTCCTTAGGGACTCCCCTGGATCCCTGGCAGTGCCCAAGGCCAGGCTGGACAGGAATTGGAGCAGCCTGGCACAGGGGAAGGTGTCCCTGCCATGGCAGGGGTGGCACTGGGTGGGATTTAAGGTCTCTCCCAACCCAAACCAGTCGGGGATTTCTCAGATCAGAAATTAATTCCAGAGTTTTACAAGTTGTTTTAACTCAGAATTCCTTTCCTTCCTTGAGGACTCCTGTACCTCCCCTTCTCTCCCAGTACCAATCAAATGCTACCTCCAAAAACCCAAACCAGCTATTCCAGGAGCAAACACTGGTGGAAGAGCAGCAGCTCCCATCTCCCAGAGATTTCAGGCTCATTACTCCAAAACTCCCCCTCCAAAGTACTCAAGGATCTGTATAAAGATTTTTACTTAAATATTTAATTCTTTTAATTCAGAGATGACTGAAAAAATAAGAGAGACAGAGAGAAAGGAATGTCCATGAGCTGCTTTATGATTTAGAAAGGCAGCTTGAATAAGTTTTAGTTCAGCTTCATTAACAAAAATGTGCAGGTCTTGTCTCTATGACAACTCCAGAGGGAGTGGAATGATTCCCTTCCTCTCAAGAGCCTGGAAAACTGAATAATTCAGAGAGGAAGAGATCCTTAGTCAGACTATTTACAACTGTTTGGATTTGTTAACACCTATTTAAAGCCAAGGCTTATGGAAGATTTTTGGAGAAAGGATGTCTTGTTTAAGACAAAACTTCTTTCCTTGTTTAATTCAGAGGCAAGAGAAGTTCCAAAGGGACATTTGAACACTCACTGAGGCTTCAGCAAACAAGACAACCAGTCCAGCTTTGATATTTGTAAGATGAAGTTATTAAAAAAGAAAATAAGCTCTTTATTTAAAAGCCATGTAGGTCTGGGCGTGCAGATTTCCAAAGCAATAAAATAATTCTCCTCTTTCTCCTGTCAGAGCAAAATTCTGCCTTTAACAGTCCTTAACTGCACCAGAAAGTTTTTGTAATGGCAATAAACTCCATCTCAAATAGCTCACAGAGGAAAAGGGAAGGATTCCCCCAAAGTTCTCTATCCCTCTTATCCAATCCAGCATGAAAATCAGTTTTACTTCTGTTTCACACCAATATCTGTGCTGTAGCAATATTATTAATGCAAACCATGACTAATCATAGAATCATGGAATGGGCTGGGTTGGAGGGACCCCAAATCCCACCCGTGCCACCCCTGCCACGGCAGGGACCACACAGGTCCAGCTCTGGCAGGGTCAAAGCAGAAACCCCTTCATTCCTGCAGGAAAATCTGGCAGTGTGGCAATGTCTGTGCTGTGTCATGGGCAGCAGATCTGGATCTGCCTGAACTCATCAAGCAGTGACAAAAATTCAATTTCAAGCTTTGACTCCAACTCCAATGGAAACAGTCTATGTCAATCTTCATTTTTGTAACAAACACTCCAGGTCTTGCCTAGGCTCTCCCATTAGCAGATTTATAA